TCAGTTGTAATAGTAATAATAATAATTTTATATTTTCATATAAACATAAATTTACATGAAAATGCATGCCATTTTTACAGGCACGACCAAGTATGATACAATGTCAAATAGTAGATTGTCTACAAGTTAGTAATGTTTGAACAGCTAAATATTTGATATATGTATAAATACACTCTTTGTCTGACCCATGTCGTATCATTATTGAATAAAACAGCAGTCCTCCAGGTTGCGCAGGAAAATCGAATTCATTTCGTTTTCAACCCGTAGTTGTAGGCATACGATAACCAACCAGTATTGAGGTAAGTACAACGTTTACAAGGGATAGTAAGCTGTTTTAGAAAAGTAAAGGTGTAAAGGTGAATCATTAGTGTAATGAAATAGATAAATGCAATGTATCATTAATATATGCATTCATAAAGGAAATACAATGGGAGACTATAATCCCTAGGCTGACAAAGTTCCTTTGCAATGTATAATGCTACCCTATAGGTTTTACTATCATGTTGTCCACTTTTGGTTTAATGCAATTATCCACAAGCCGGTTGTTTTAATTTCATACCTTTTTGTGTTTGGTGCACAACCGTACCCTATAGAGAATAGGAATAAAATAAGTCGAATCAAATTTATAAAGAGCTATAAAATGTTACGTTTAGTGGAATATAATGAGCAAGTGAAGACGTTATTAGAAAAGGTATGAGATGAGACATTGTTAAGTGATATTCGAAGATACGACAAAGGAAAGCATGTTAATTTATAAGATGCCCCATAAATCTGTGCAGAGCCCACGTGGTCGCATCTCAGCAATAGTATTACGCAGTGACTGAATTACAGGAAATCAACCACCAATACAGAGAGTGATGAACGTGGGAGTTTGCATTTGGCGAAATTATTTCCAATTTATATAATAAATATATATTAACAAACAACAGTAAGTATTTAAACAATACAGTGATAGATAGTGTAAATCACCACATCTATTCCGCTTATTCATAAATGACATAGTCTCTGTGGTCGAGTCTGGCAAACCATACATGTTTGCAGATGATTTCAATATAGCATATGATTATGGGTACGATATCATGAGCGTTGAAAGTTAGATCCACCATGTCTTAAACAATCTAGGTGATTGGAGAGAAAAGTGGCAATTGGCTTTCAACCCGGACAAGTGCGGTATAGCCCACCTTGAATTCTGGAAACCGAGGATGTGCCTATATGTGTACGGTAGACTACTCTCAAAACTAAACTCAGTTACAGATCTCAGGATAACATACTCAGATTTCACCTTTTCCGATCGTGTAAATAAGGTGGTTTCTGACTGTAAACGAGTTATAGTCCTTGTACTGCGTGCCTTTTACACCCAAGAAGCAAGATTAGCTATATATAGAACATGTATTCGCCCCAAACTCGAGTATTGTGCTCCCCTGTTCTGTAACCTGAGGTCTGCAGACTAAAGAAGACCAAAGTGTCCAGAGATTCCTCACGAAATGCATAATAAGGTTTGGCCAACAAGTGGAATATGTTGACAGGTGCATACAACTGAAATTAGAACCTCCATGGTTAAAGAGAGTGAAATGCAACTTGTTTGTACCCTTCAGATTTATTAGGAAACTTTTTCACAGTAACTCTTCCATAACGCGGACAAATATCAAATCATATGAGCTGCAAAATCATGACTACCTTCTCAAGGTGGCTGCCCATAGAAAATCTATTAGGGCAAACTTTTCACCATTAAATATTGTACTCGTTGGCACCAACCACCATCTGAAATTAGATCTTGTGGATACCCCGATGGCTTCAGACGGATCCTAGAAAGACACACTGACATGTTCGCTGTGGCTTGTCTAAAAGACCACAACTTTTGGTAGAGTGGTAAATGAAAGCCAGTCCAATCTTCAATGCTGCCAACTTTGATGGTGACCTTAGTGGGGGGTTTGCAATTTAACACCTATAAGAATCTGTTTTGATTGCTTGTACGATAAGGCAACAATTTAAACTTTTGAAAAGCGCTAATTTATGGTACTACAAGGTTGTAATTTATAACATAACTGATTGTGCCCGTAGAAATGGTATGCATTTCTTGTAGACTTATCCATTTACACGAAATATAAATTATCATTATTAAAACAGAAATCGTAATGTTATAATCAGTGTGATAAATCACTTAATCATTCTAAGTCAGGAACTGCCTGAAACCTTAACAGGAAACAAACATCCTCCTTCACTTATTGGCGTAAACATGAGTGGGAATCCAGCATTACGACGGGTTGCAACTTCTTCTAAGAGGAATCTGCTTGGTGCTGGACTTCCTGGAAATAATTGGTTCCCAACTGTACAAGTGCGAAACATAGATGTCATCACCATGTGCTTGATTAGGTGAGTAAACACCAAGCTATGTAACGCGTGCTTGTTGGGGACACTTATTTTGTCCGCACAGGACGTTTTAATCTCAAATAACTAAAAGATGGATAAGATTTGATGATGAGTAACCACCAGAAAGGGTTTTGGAACGGTTATTCATATAACCGAGAAGAAATATAGCGGTAAACAGCAAGCCACTGTCAGCTGGTGACTTACTGAGATCACTAGTCCACAAAGAGTCACCATTTACAGCGGTTAGAACTGAAAGTAATTCATTGCTCAGGAATAGTGACATTACCAAATCTACGAATGCGTCACCCAGCGCTGACCTCTACGTTTTTACCACACCATATATTCAACAAATGAGTGTTCAGGCACCAAGCCTGGCGTCTGCATTACCCACAAAATTAGAGCGACTGGGGTCATCTGTCTAAGAAGTGAGGACTGTTTTACGTGTGATGAAAGCCAAATAACGGAAATAGACTCATAGAAAATATGATAACTGAACTATTAAAACAGGTGATTGAAACTAAATCACTTGCGCTCGAATTTAAACTCCTGAACAACCTGACCTATAAAAATGAATCAGTGGGCCATACATAGTCATTGAACGAGATAGACCGTACAGTAAACCTTAATACAATAGAAGCAATCAAAAGAGTAAGAACTGTGCCTAATGTAACCATTTTCATCATGCATGATAACCACTGGTTGGAAACAGTGCAGAGAGTCTGCTTTGTACACCAAAATTGTAGACTGAAAAATGGCTAATGGCAATAGCATTCTAATCAGCCCTCAGTTTATGCGGAAATTATGGCTGAAAAAGCCATCAACTCTCGGCTTATTACATCCTAATTTACGGCTTTCAAATAAGTAAATAAACCTAACTGTAAGAAAACATGGATGACAGCAACTTAAGTTAACGTACAGACTCTTCTGCGTAGGATCACGAAGGTCAGAACTATAATGCTCTCGAACAATTTCAAACTATCTCCACAAAAGACACTGTCGCCAAAAGAGTAATTAGCTGAAAATGACACATCTAATATAGCAATCCTGGAAGCCAGTTATTTACGCTAGCTGAAACTACTCCGTACAAGCTTCAGATTGGCTTCAACTAGAAATAAGGTTCATGATTTCGTGGCCTGCTAGACTTGTGTCTTGGCCATACAACATCTACCTCTTTAGCCTGGCCTTCTTAACGTGGTGGCCAGGATGCTCTTTACACAGAGCCAATTAGTGAGGGAAAATGTAATACTACGGCTCTTCACGGATGTGTTTAATAACGATGGTGTGAACAGATAATAGTGATAAACAATCACACCACAACACATAAGCGCCCTTATTCCTAGAAAACATAATTATCCATAGTCTGGTCAAATCACCACAGATATTTAACTAACCTTAGAAAGTTGATAGGAGTCGGTATAAAAGGTGATCACCATATGATTCATCGTGCGATATGATGTTTGTAAACTTTTCTAATCTTTTTCTTACCTTGGTCTTGGACAAATCATCGACCAATAAGAAAATTCATTTTTATCGAGCACAGACGAACCGCCTACGAATCGGAACAATCTATTTCTATTGCCACAGGTAGATTTTAATGTGACAAGGAATATATAAATATGAGGTACTTTTCATTATTGTAATTACCAACCGACAACTCAATATCGTAGATGACAAGTGATGTTTATGAACTTTTATTTGAGAAACCACCGCACTTGGTGAGTGGAATGTGGAAAAAGGGACAGCATCCATTATTCAACGGAATAAGGAAGCCTTACAGATCATGCAGAAGATACAGTTCCTACCTGGCTACTCATTTTATCGTTCTGAGTGGAAACACAATTCCGTGGGCTATAATTTCTTTTACCGTCGTTTCATTATCCAAAAATCTCTGGTGTCACTGAAAGCAAAATATTTCTAAGTAATTCTGGTGAGTTTTCTACCCTGATTTAAGAAAACATGGACAGAATCGCATTGCATACGCCGTAGTCGGCGAGTCGTGTACCAAATTAATTTACACACGATGATATCGTATAATTCAGGACTGCTGTTGCTTAGCAAAATAATAGTTTTGCATGGACAATTAGGCGTCACGCATTGAATTGTTAAATTCTAAGTTTTGCAGTGCCTTAAATCCAACCATTTGTCTTAAACAGTTAAGGTTGAAAAACAGTATAGAACTAGATCAGTCTTTCGAACTTTCTATTTTGAAATATTATGCTACTACAGTGTTCAAAAAAATGCAACAATGCGGTCTTGAGATCAGAGTTTCTCTAGCTCTCTGAGAGTTTAAAATGTTGTTTTTCAGAATACAAGTTTATGTTATTCCACCTTTAAGGGTTGTAATTTCGTCTAGAATGCGAAACTTTTACATCTTTTTCCGAGGAGATCGGAAAACTGGAGCAACGGGTGAGGTTGGTGAAGAAAGGTATGGAGACGAGGAAAGCATCCTATTCGAAATAAGAGATGTTTCGGATGCCTCTGTCATATTTCTAGAAAAATTCTTATATGAAGTTGCTTTCCTTTACTCAAGGATTTTTCTCTGTATAAATTTTATAGTGGGAAGCATTAAGGAACTTAGGGAAAGAAAGTTGGAAATATTTCGTGCTTATTGTTTGAATCTTCCACATTGCGTAAGGGTTTCTCTGAGCAGGAGGTGAACCGGTGGTCTGAGCGCGGATTTTAAAACTCTTTGGAGTACGTCTAGTATTTCTTCGTGATTTGTTTATAGCGTTCGTGACACGATTTACTGTTTTTCATTCTTATCAATTCGTGATCATCATCCGTTGTTATATGTTGGCATGTATGTTTATGCCTTCGCATACGTTTTGTACAAGTGTGGATTGATAGAAATTAACGTTCCCTGAAAATGTATTGTAAGGGTAACTCTCATTGGCAAACATTATGCCTTGAGAGGCGGCACTTGTAACGTGTTTGGAAGTTCGTACATCTGCACCATAATAATTGCTGAACCTTACAGGCTGAACTGGTGTACAGGTTTGTTTTCAGGGTTAATAATAATCAACCCTGTACCTAAGTTTTTGCAACTATACCTCGTTTCGTGTTTAGTTGAAAGTGTTGCTGAAGTGTTTTATCTCTATGTCTTCTGCTAATTTCCCAGTCGAAACTTTCTTTTGGTTCATAGAGTGTCTGGGATTTTTTACAAAGTGAATTCTTCCTAATTATTTTCTCATAACAAAAATCCTGGTTTCGGTAAAAATGTATTGTGACACGTAATATAATTTCTTCGCATCTCATGCATGCCTTTAGTTGTCTGAAGTGTGCGTTGTGGGATGAATTGTATTCACAAGGCAAACCGTTTAGTTATTCTTAGTGTGGAGATATTTGCTTATCGCAGTACGAATCAGTAAGCTAGATATTTTTTGCTGATTGTATCAGCAGCAGATTTGGTTCAAGTTTACATATACGTTTGTTTCAGATATGTAGTGGTGTATGTGTATTGCTCTGTACTCTTTTGAGAAGGAATAAGCTAAATTTCATACCAGGACTATTTTAGGAAATGTATTGCGGTCATATCGCGAAAGGTGACTAACAAATGGTGTCATGTTAAGTCCACTATGGATACGAATTTATTTTCGTAATTCACACGGTTGTACAGTGTTATTTACTGATGACCATCATATCAAGTAACTCATAACTTGTTTGTGTGAGTGTATCAAAATAAAATCTTATCCATAATGTAGTTATACCCTACCACAGTGCCCAAATTTGTGTCATGTTAAGGCCTGTCGACATTTATATTCAATAATGTCTATTGTTGGTGGATTTTGTTTTATGACTGAATGTGTTCGGATGATAAATAATCTGAGTGCTTTGCACCTAAATGTAATTGTTCAAATTCACACATTAAAAAGCTATGATTAAACTTAGAGGAAATAAGTAGAAACCTACTTTAAGAAGAAATGATTTCAACCGTTAGTAATTAAATGAGAATTATTGAAGAATACCTAAATATGAAAAAATACGATAGTGAACATATCTGTAATATTATCGTTGTTGAGCAGTTCCAGTGGTTCATCTATCGTATCGCTACGTGGCTCCGGCCAATAATCAATTACCTCAGCTAACATTGCACTTTGGTCAAAGTAGCGGCTTAGCGTGCCTAGCATTGACGTTCTTCACAGTGGGGCCTATGCTCATTTATGCTTATTATTGCACTGTACGAGTTGCGAGTAACTGACAAAACGCACTATCATAAACTCGTACTCTTTTCATATTTACCTGTATTCAGTGTGAAATTGAGTTGCTACTAAATATATACAACTTTTGATGGGTAGTAGAATATAACAATTGTACAGGAAATGACACTTGCAAGTAGCTAACTAGGTATTTTTTGATTGCTGGGATTTTACCAGCAACCGGTTGATTAGGATTGATGGAACTTCCCAAACACGTGAAATAATTAACAAGCAAGACAACTTCACTTTTTCTTGGACTTGGAGTTAATTCAGATCATTCCTCGGCATCATCTTATACTAAGCAGGCGGGAAGTTCACAAGAAACACATAGATTTGCTCACTGTATCAAAATGCAGCAGTACTTTTGTGGTATAATCAACAAAACAGTGATAGCGCCTCTCTGATGGAAGCCAATGCTTATCGTCACTTTAGATGATGGCCCTACATATTCTCGTAATATTATACAAATTGGATCAGGGTACTTCGATTGAAGCAATATAATTTTCGTACTTCTTTCACACCAAACGTCGTCGCAAAATGGCTTTGAAGCCAGCGCTATCTGCTGATTTTTGGACAACTAGGTGGTATCATAATTCTCCAAATAGTAGTTGTTGCTGATTGCTTAGTGCATATGATTGAGTAACAAACGTATGCTCAATTAGAGAGAACAAGAATCAGAGGATTTGTGGACGACATAATACCTTTTTTTGGTGATCCATTGCCAGTTGCAGCCTGCAAAGGAATTTTAACACAGGAAGCTATGAGGGGAAGTCAGTTAACAGTAAAAGCAGTGTAGCGAGGAGCAGAAGCCGATGAATTTAATAAATAGATTTGCAAAACGACCACGTTTATATATCTTAGCTTAAGGCCGGATAATTCGTGTGAATGGTAGAAAGATGTTCTGATATCTTGAAAAGTGGGTTTAGTTAAATCCCTATTGGAATTCCGCACATTGACACTTTCTGTGGAACATAATCTGTGTTGTGATTATGTATTTGTTTTGTTTGAAGGCTGTCTTCGAATTGTAACAGCTAGAATTGGGTACAAATTTTCACAAATTCGTCAGGATATCAGTCTTCGCGGAGTATTTTTTTGATGAGAGATATGGCGCAATTGAAATTTTTCGACATCGATATTAAGTATGATGATTCACGTCATCTAACTCTTGTTGATGCCGTGACTTTCAATTGCATCGAATCTGATTAACATGTTTAGAGAAGCCGTAGTCAGTTTCTCACACTCTCTCTGACCAGATAGCCTTCCAATTTAAATGGCTTTGTTTATCAAAAATACCTCATTCACTGACAGTAAAGTACATTAGTCTGCATGTTGTTGATAATGGACCACTAAACAATGTGATATCATCTTCCACCAATAGCTATTCTTTATATAATAATTACGTTATGCGCTAAATGCAGTGTACGTGTCTTTTCTTCCAAATGTTTTGATAATTCGCAGATCTGTTAAGGAATTCCACTAGGTTTTATTGAATTTCCTTTATCACTGTTTCAGGTGTGGATGCAACTTTGGAATTTACCAAATCTGTTTCCGAGATTGTAAACTATGTAAGTCTGGAAGTCTAGTGGATTCACAGTCTTTAAGCTTTGTTTATATTTACGGTGTTCTTTTGTATAGGTTTTGGACATCTATCGTACTCTGTCTGTAGTCACATCATGCTAATACAACGGACTGAATACATGTCAAACATTCAAATTTTTACTTGGAGTGTTAGAAAGCCAGTCTTCGACAGTATCTAAGAAATATATCGTCGGCTCACTCTAAGTTAATAGATATTTTTGTAGTCGTGAATCATTTCATATGATTTTGGAGTCACATGGACTTCCATCATTACACTTAGGTCAAGACTACATAAGAACGGTTTCAGTCGGTATTACCGTCGGATACTGCTGGTTCTCGTCAAATCAGATGACAACACCGAGAAGTTCATCAGTAGCCGCGTGATTTTGAGTAGAATTTCTTGACTAAGGTAGCTTGCTTACTCATGATTCCATATGAAGCCAAACATTTCTTCAAAACTTCGATCGAAGGTTATCAGCATACAAGATTTAAGCTAGATCTTTCTCTAGGTTAAATAATCTAGAAAACTCCGTCAATGCTATACATGCACTTGCATACAATCAAGATACGGTGAGATATAGTTAAATTATCAGAGTAGTACAATTAGTGGGGAGGGGTTAATCACCGAATCTTTGTCCATTTCTATGTTCTCATAATTTTTTTTACGTCGGTTCTCGTCACTCAAAAGTGAGTTAATGCATTTGACGTATAATATATGGCTCATAGGTTTACGTACTGTATTTTCAAATGGTAGGTCACTAAGTCGAATCCTGCTTTATCTAGCGTGTCAGCTAGGTGTTGTCAGTAGTCTTCATACAGGCGATTGTTGAGTTGCACAACAGCTAGAAGACTAAGTAATCGAAATAATCATGAGCATTATACTTACCGCTGTTATGTCACGAGATCATAACCATTTTCATTTTTTAAATCGTTCGTCTATTATGCAATAAACATGACTACTATACACATAAACTAGATACTGAGTGTGAATTATAATGGCAATAGGTTGATAGAATTTAAGTAGTCATTCTACTATTCGTTCGCTCCAACCAGTGTATTCAAAGATGGTCATCGTTTTCATTAATCCTGAAAATCATCTCAATTCCATGGCTAATATAATCGCAGCAAATTTCATTTGTTAAAATTGCCTTTGTATTATTTTTATCTAAAGTAAGTGTGAGCATTAGCTGTGTGAAATTATATCCAAAAATATTTTTGAATTTTCTGACTGCATATATATATATATATATATATATATATATATATATATACAGAACGTTGGACCTAGACGCTGTGTGCTGTATGTATAGATGCATTTCCAGTTGTTTGAGTGGAATAATTAATTTCTTGGCATTTAGTGTTGTGTCTGGTTTCCAGTTTCTAAATGTGTTCACTTCTAACTTAATACACACATTTATAAGATAAAGTCCATTAGTTATTTGGTGAGTGCTTGGTCACATGAAAATGCAGTTGTTTTGTAATCATGTAGACTATTGCCTGCATCTTTGCTCATCACTGTGTGAATAAAATGTTTCCGCTTTATAATTACTCTTCATTGCAGACTTATTTAGCTGCAGCAGCATATACAACATTACTCACTGGTCATCACATAATAGTGTATTGCTGTGTATTACATTAAATAAATTGCCATATTACGGAATTATTACTCTTGTACGGGGCAAAGTTCCATCTATAGGTTAATAAAGGTTTAACTAACTGAGTTTCAACGCAGAATTTTGCAGAGAATTGCAACAGTTGCGGTTGCAACACTCCTCGTAGCAAGAAAAGGTGTAAAGAAAAAAATTCAAAAAACTGTAATAAGCAGAAATGTCAGGGAGAATAGTAATACGCAGGAACCATAAAAATATAATGGGCTTGGCAGATTACAAAGAGTGAATTTATGTGCACCAATGAGAAACTGTTTTGTGCCGTATCACCAGCAGTCTCCAGCTTTTAGTTTTTAACATTCCCAGGATTCCAACCAGGCAGTCTACACCTCACTACGTAACTCAAAGAAATCGGCAAACACTTCTGACCTTGGTTTAGACATCCCTTTACATCCTACTCCTATGCCAGCTAACATTGCTAAACATGCTAAACATATATATAAGGTTTTTTTTTCACATTTAGGAAAATAAGAATTAGAGGCTTCAGATGTCGGCGTGTTCTACTTCTAATCTCTACCATATTAACTATCCTCCTTGTAACAAGTTTTCTGGCTTCCCAATTTGACGAAACAGTAAGTAGTTTCACTATTACGTGTAAAACATTTATTTCGTTTACGAAATATATTTTTATTTAATTATATTCTACGGATTGCTCTCAATGAGGTGCATGATCATGGTATGGGTTCCCTCTCTCTTTTAATTCACTCGGTAGATTGTCGATTGGTCTCCTTAGTAATGATTTATATGTTAAATTATCTAACTATGAAGTACAAGATGGACAGGAGCTTATGACTGCACTTATTTTTAGTTCCGAGATTTTAGAGACATTTGAAGTGTTCTTTTACCACATCTGAGTAAATGCAAAAGTGGTAAGAGAGTCTCAGATAAGATCAGACATTGTGCATTTAAAACCTGAGACATATACACTAACTTCTGTTATCTTCGTTGAGGTTCATTTGCAGTCTGAATATACAGTGTCTTCATATGAGTAGATGTACTCGTCTGTAAAGGCTGGTACCACACACCAATCATAGTAAAAAATATAACATTTCAAGTCTTTTATCCTTAACAGTTATGTCTCACCGTCGTACTTTAAAATATATTCGGTTACTATAGGTAAAACAAAAGTGAGGGTAAATGGACTTATTTGTAATGACAGATTACAATAAGTTTTATTGAAGTAACGAACGACGAATTCACACTAGCACACGAAAATATTATTTGCTATCCATGTCTGGGGGTATTTTCTCTATTTCTTGTGGTTTTTAAAAAACTTGTCTTATGTTTTTTAACGCATTAATTCATTTCTTTCTTCATATTCTTAAGCAATTTGATGTAAATTCTTATTACTTTTCCAGTGAAATCTTGCCATAAAACTTGTATGCACTCTTCTAAGTAGATTGTATCATAACTGAGTCACCTTCTTGTTGAAGTAAAAGCCGATTAGGGTCAGTCACTCATATCTAGATGTGAACTATATGCTGAACACAGAGATACATTCAAGCTGTTTATGTGAGGTTCCTCATTTGATGAAATTTTGGTTTACATCATTGCGCTTAAATAAAAGCACAGTGAGAAAAAGTCAACAAAAGAGAAATCAAAGGAGTAAAAGTGGTATCTGTAGTAATGAAAACTGAACGGCAGTAAACAGATGTGTAGATTAATGATAACATCCATTAATTAAAGAAAAATAAGAATTAAATGCATATAAACTACTGTGTTTACTTTCCAGCTAGATTGTGCGTTCTTCAATGTCTAAGCCTCCATAGTTCAATGTCAGCATGGTACAGTAAAGGTAGATGTTAAGACAAACTTATGGGTAGCAATTTCGACATTGCCGTAAACATTAATCCAAATTCTCTAATGAAAATCAACCTTGTTTAAGAGTTTAGCATTATACGTTGCAAACATTTATGTGAATTTATTTTAAAGTGAATTATACGTCTTTCGCTGTCTATAGCGTGTAAGCTATTACTATCTATATTTGCTCTGTTTTATTTCGAAGGACAATAAATCATCCGCATCGGGGCCAATATCATCGAAAGTTGCTTCCGTAGTCAACCATCCAGAAAGTGAACAAGATGATCATCAAATCCAAGCACCTGTTCAAGTACCGCCAGTTATAAGTAATGGTGAGAAGGTTCTACCGAAAATTCCTGTTAAACAATCTCCTGTTTCTGAACCGCCTTCCTCACTTAACGTTTTTAAGCTGGGGACACCAGTTACCAAGGATGAAACTCAAGGTGGAAATCCCTTGAATGTAACAGTCTCTAAAATGCGTGATAAAGTCAGGGAGGTAAGCTACAAACTATATACTTTTATAGTATAGTTACCAGTATTTATGTGTGCTCAGCCATTATTTCTGTGTGTTAAAAATGTTAGTAATACATTTGTTTTAGTTGTGTCGCACATAGTCATACACAGTACTTTCATACATAAGGCATGCAAACCGGTTGATACATTTTCATAATGTAATTTGTTACTGGCTTTTGATGTCTTTTCCTCATAATGAGTGGTAACCGTAATAATATTAACAGATACAGAATCCAAATGACGATGCGCGAAAGTTTACAGTAATCATTTGTCTCTCATTCTGACGGAGAATGCACACGTTTATAAATGTATAAACCCGCGCACTACATAAATGTCAGTTAACAAGATACTCAGTATTTTGCTTCAGTTGTTATATATATACATATATATATATATATACATATATATATATATATATAGTTTTTATTCTGTACAAGTGTTATGGAAGATCAAAACATATTCTATCTACGTTAATTTCAATGTCTAACCTTGAAATGTTAAATTTTGGTCCCGATTACTTCATCAATTATTGCATGAAAGCAAGTGTGCTTTACTTGTTTATGCTTATAGTTAATGTAAACCAATTTTTAATGCAAAAGCTTTTCTGTAGTGCGTTATAACTAACAGGTAGTACTATCAGTAAAGTCTATTCAGAAAAAAGCAGAGCGTTTTATTCAAAGCCTGATAACAAGACACTGTTTCTATGGTTACCAATTAAAATAATGTGTACAGCATTCTTTATTATTAGCCTAAGTTTCAAATGTGACATCACGTCTGATATTCTAACGCGTAAACTGTTGAAAACACATTCATCGTTAACTTCTCAACTAGATCTCTAATCAACACAACAAACCAAGTGGAAGTTGCTGATAAAAGTCAATTCAACGGATATCTTTAAGTTCAACTGTTCCTGTGTTAGAGCTTTACATTTTCAGACTTGCAGACATATCTAGATTCGATTATTTAAAGGAGCAGTCGGGTAAATAAATAGTACAGTTTTGTTTCATTTAGCAAACAAAGGACATTTTTGTCTCTTAATTATGGAGATTAATATCAGCAAACATGTATATGTAACTCACAATCGGTTCTACAGATTACTTTTTCTTCCTGTTTCTGTCTCTCTCACTCTCTCCTAGTTAATTTTCCAAACATATTAGGATATCAGACAGCTGCACGATAATTCTGTCATGTCTCATACAGGATGATGACTGCTAGATTCAACTCAAGAAAGTAGAGTGACAATTGTACAATGCTATACACCCACAAACAACACGGACCTAGGAAAGAAAGAAGAGTTCTACAGGCAACAATGGACAGTGCTCCAGTTTGTGACATTAAAATTTCAATGGGCGACATGAAAGCCAAACTGGGACCAGACAACACTTAAAGAGAACTCATTATGTGTCGAGAAGCACTTGGAGAGATGAATGAGAACGGAGAACTCTTCGCTGACTTTTTTGCCTTTAATGAACTAGTGGTTGGTTGCAGCGTATGCAAGCACAAGAGTATCCACAAGGTTACATGGGTGTCACCAGACTGGTGAAACAAAAACCAAATTAACTTCATCTCAATGCTGCTCAAGGAAGTGGATACGCATCTTACTGGATACAAAAGTAAGAAGAGGAGCAGACGTTGGCTCAGACCACTATCTCGTACAAGGAACACTCCAAATCAAATTAAAAGCTTTCAAAGAAACAGGAACTGCAAATAGACCACAAGCCAAGTTCAGTACTCAAAAACTGAAAGATCAGGCCACAAAGGACATTTTCACTGTATTCATAAGGAAAAAGGCGGAGACACAAATCAACAGCAGCGAATAGACCAGCGCTGAAAAGCACTGGAACAGCCTGAAAGTGGTGTGGAGTCAAACCTGCATGGAAGTTGTAGGCAGAAAAAAAGAGATAGGACAAACAGTGGCTCACTACGGACACATGGAGACTAATAGAGGAAAGAAGGGTGATGAAACAAAAGATTATCCAGTGCATCGATGAGCAAAAAACAGGAGTTGAATGCAAAAGTAAAGAGTAAAGAAAAGTGCCAGGGAAGACAAAAACAATATTATGAAGTTATGGCAAGTGAAGCGGAACAAGCTGCATGCAAAGGAGACCTCACGACACTCTTTCAAACAACTAGGTTCATATCGGGAGGAAATCAACACAAATGAAGCCATTGAAGGATGGCAGTGGAAAGCCAATCACCAAAGAGGTGGAGCAAAGGAAACACTGAAATGAACACTTCAAAAGACTTCTTAATCGACTTCCACCTTCAACGTGCCCAATAATACCAACAGCGGTAGCAGAACTACCAGTGGATACCAACCATCTGATGAAAGAAATTTTGAGGGCCATAAAATGCTAAGATCTGGAAAGGCGGCAGGACCAGACGGAATCCCCGTAGAAGCATTGAAAATGGACCCAGAGACAACAGCGAACTTGATGACACCACTACTGAAGATGTGAAAAGAGGGTAAGGTACCTAATTGGAGGAAAGGCTACCCATTCAAACTGTCAAAGAAAGGAGACTTAAGTCAATGCAAGAATAGGCGCGGCATTGTACTCCTGTCTGTATCGCAAGTAAAGTACTAAGCCGCATCATCAAACACTCCCTTGATGAAACGCTTCGACTGAAACAGACTGGATTCAAGAGAAACAAGTCATGCATCGCTCAAATTGCAACATTACGGATCATCATTGAACAGAGCTTGGAATGGCAGTCAGCTCTCTGCCTCAACTTCATCGACTTTGAGATGGTCTTCGACAGCGTTGATTGAGAGGTGATTTGGAAACTACTTCTGTACTACTGGGTACCGCCAGCAGCTATGCACCTTATCCAACAGTTGCACAATAGTGCTACATGCCAAGTAATCCAACGCGAGAAACTCACGAAATCCTTCGAAATGAAAACATGGGTAAGACAGGGTTGTCTATTATCTCCAATGAAGAAGCATCAAAGGAAGGATTTCAGGTGAACATAGAAAAAACAGAGGTGATGAAGATTCCTGATCAACAGCAACAACAACAAAAGACAATCAGTATAAATGGGAGAAATCTGAAGGGAGTAACCTCCTTCACCTATCTGGGAAGCATCGTTTCAACTACAGGTGGTGGCAAAGTGGTTAGGACTCTCGGTGACCATGAACGTGGTCCGGGGTTCGATCTCCTGCCGACGCACACTTATCTATGGTCGGCCTGCGAAATTTGGGCTACCGATATCACATGCTGAAAATTCCATACTTGTACCAAAACTACCGTGCAGAACCAAGCTGTAATCAAAAACAAAACTGACGAGGATATCAAAGCGAGGATCGGGAAAGCAAGGCAAGCTTTCATTACCTTCAAGTCTGTGTGGAGATCAACAGCACTCAGCATGAAAAATAAGATCCGGATTTTCAACTCCAAAGTGAAGTCAGTGCTACTTTATGGTTCAGAAACTTGGTACGCCATGAAGGGCACTTCGAACAAACTACAGACCTTCATCAATAGCTGTCTTCGCTCAAGATCAGATGGCCAGGAAAGATCAGTAATAGGGATCTCTGGGGGCGAACCAGCCAGTAACCAGTTGTGCAACAAATATGCAGGAAGAAATGAAGGTGGATTGATCATACTCTTAGAAAACAAACCATCAAGTGACATCACATGACAGGCCATTGCTCGAGTGGAACCTGAAGGGGAAGCGGTGGGTTTGGTCTTCAGTGTGAGGGTGACATGGAGGAGGTCATGTAAAGAGGAGATGAAAGCATGTGGGCAGACGTGGAGCCAGGTGAAAACGTTGGCGGAGAACCGAACGCAATGGAGACGTGTGGCTGAAGCCCTATGTTCCTTTAGGAACTAAAATATAATAATAATAATAATAATAATAGTAATAATAATAATGGAATACTGAAATCCATTCATGACATTCGTGACACTTATGATCTGGATATTTATATATTTATTTTGTATGATAATAACTTTATGACCTTTATGATGAATACAATACACGTATTAGTTACCAGCTAACTTTATCTTCTCTCACATATGCTATTCACATGATATTTTTGTCGTTGTTAAATTAGAGCTCAGCTACATAACAGTGAGTTCATTCTATAGTTGACAAACACTTACACACACTTCAGTACTTTTAACAAAATATAATAGATCCCTATTCTTAGATTTCATCTCATCATATTGTGATAGTTTTTGTTTCTTATTGATTTTAAATTAAATTAGGAAAACTAGATTGATTGTATAATTATTCCATCTCTAAAAGAATTTATACATTTCGTTTAATGTTCATGTATTCTTATAACCGTACATTAATTCATGTTGCGCACTTCTTCATGATTTTATAACCTGGAAAGGAAGTTACTGAACATATTTACTAGCCTAACAGCTTATATATATATATATGTATGAGCTGTTGAAACCTATGTTCCATCAGGAACCCAAGGATGGATGATTAAATCAATATACTGGCAATATTTCTTCCCCGTGAAGAATTTAAAGCAAACAGTAATTGCAAAAACATTAGCAGTATTCAGTGAATATATTAATTTTTTTAGGAGTCGCCAGCTGAGTTCTGCACATATGTGATTATTTAAATCAAATTGGAAGGTTTACAAACATCAATATAAGCTGACTGCAGATAACTGTCAAACTAAGCAAATGTGTGGTCAATAGCAATGATTGATGATGATTGATGGCATCAATCCATGAAATCCTTGACAGTTAAACTGAGTCAGGTAGGGAGATGCAGACTTCCGGGTTGGGGCCCTCGGGACTCTAAGGATCAGTGGCTGGAGACAATAGGTGACATGGCTCAAAATCGTTGTCAATGGCGCAGATGTATTCAGTCTCTGTAATCTTTTATATTCCTTTCTACCATTACTCATTCTGTTTCACTCTTTTACTTGTCAAAACTCTATTGATTCTCTCCACTCATTTTCTTGTCTACCTTTGTGTGCTATTTGGAACGTGGCAACTCGAACTCTGCACTTCGGTGCCAAGTTCTATGTTGAATCCAGACAGACAGAATGATTGATGAATTGCAAACGTAATTCCGAGGAACAGATTTATCATGACAGACATGAAGGGAATTATGAATTTCTAGACTTTAGACAATGTTGATATGGAAGAATCTGTCAGCTTTAAACATGTAAACCAAGTAGTGCTATTGTAACAAGATGTAAAAGTCTGTTGTATTGAACACCATAAATATTTTACAACATGCATGATAAAGATCAGTACTCAACTAGGGCTTTAGTTTTCAAATGAGACAAGGAATGACAAGGAGCACAATGGCAACTTATTTATTTTTTTATTATTACTACTATTGTTTCTTAAACCCATCTCTTTGATCGTTAAATTATATGTAACTTCAGTCATGTGTGTTTTGTCATTTGAATCGTACAAATATTACCATGCTGAGATAGAATGTAGTTTGATGCATAATATGGAGGATTCTTTTCTTATTTTATCGTTTTAATTCAACACGCCGATCACTGATCAATTACACAGTTTCTTCGTGGATAATGAAGTGAATTGTTTATGAAAAGTTATAACTATGCTATGTAGGACGGAAAGATCATTCTCTTTTTAGTAACTGATAGCACTACTTTTCTGTGCAAATACTTTACACTTCTTAATGTAAATTTTATATCAAAATAATTTATAAATGCGGTGAAAATTTCCAGCATAAATGATTTCTAAAAGTAATAATTTAGTACTTATCTGTGAAGTATTTATATGAATTACACTAAGGGCCTAAAATATACTCGATAGGTTAGTGATGCTACTGAAAATTGTTCATTTAAATATGAATGCACCAGCCCAGTGTTTATCTTAGTCATTTAATTATCTTATCTTTTGTATTTGCCAGTTTTTGTTTTTCAACTGTTTAAAATATAATTAACTTGATTTCATATTGGTTTTGTGAGGATTTTGTTTGGTTGGTTGGAGGATTTCATCATGAGCTGACATCAGTTCGAACCCTGGCGGTGGATTCGTACTGATGAAGAGTCCCAAACTAGGACTGAACAGTTGCCCAGTACTCCTAGGTTTTCCAATGGTTCTCTATCTGATGTCACTTTATGATGAAATCCTCCAACTAATTTGTTTATGTGAAATTTCTTTGCCATTTGATAACTGATACTTTTTTCTTAAAAAAAATCTTTACGGGGATTTTCGTTAAATTACATCCCACAGGTAATACTAATAATTTTCTTCAAGGGATACAAAGTAGATTTCTCTTGCCATTATTCGATAATTCATAGTTGTTGGCATTCATGTAATAATGGAAATATTGTCTAAAAAAAAAACACTTAAGTAAATAACTGCCATGTTTTCTGTATAATTTTAAATAAATCCAAGTATCTTACCTGTAATCACACTAAAGTGTGGAGCTGTAGATCATTGGTCTAGGCACTCGACTTCAATCCATCGAGGTTCAGGCTGCTAGGTACTATCACTAGTCTCAAACAGGTGTGGCACACTGTTAACTGCATGCAATTGAAAGCGGTCGCTGGCGTCGGTGGCGCAGTGGTTAGAACTCTCGACGACCATGCACATGGTCCGGGGTTCGATCTCCTGTGGACGCACACCTGATATCAATGGTCGGCCTGCGAAATTTGGGCTACTGATATCACATGCTGAAAATCCCATACTTGTACCAAAAATACTGTGTGGTTTCAAACTATAATCAAAAAAAAAATATAAATATATAATCTATCATATTAAACAATTGAAAAGAATGAACATCTATAAGTCTCACTTCACTGGTTACTGACGTTTATCTAAAGTAAATGTACTCCTAAAGTCAACATAGATTGTATGTTGTGAAAAATGAACTTTTCTAAATGTATGCTGATGAGAAGTACAATAATTCCAACAAATGAATTCATTTTTTTCATGATCATCAATGCAATACACTCATGATCTGTATAATTGTTTCTTATATGGCTTTGGTCTGTCAACTTTACTACTTATTTTCCCTTCAGAAATAAATCAACAACAAGTACAGAAATAAGCTTTCTTCTCTACTTGCCAAGTGCATTCGATTCACTAATCATTTTATTTGTTTGTAGGTTTAAAATTCAAATACTTAATTTTTATCAACGTACCTTTTATAATATTAGTATTGTATTTGTATTGTGCTGTGGTGATTCACTTTTGTTCATTTCCGTATCTATATATAAAATTGTTGACACACTACTCCTACTGTGTTCTTGTCATTTAATTTAGTTTTGAATTTCTGTTTTGCTGGGTTGTTTTTTCTGTCACAAAAGTAATTTAGTGTACTTGGTATTTATCAACATCAAACAATTTCAATAGGAATCAGTCAACAACTGTTCTGAATATATGAACAGTGCTCATGTTTCTACCAAATATTGAAAAAACGGACTAGAACCGTGTAAAGTGTACTTACAAGTTATGAAATCATGTTAAAATAAGTATATGTAATGAATTGGGCTCAAAGGTTATTCGCGAAACAGTACTGTTTCATTGTGCGACTTGCTCGGCAAACGAATATGGATTAAACTGAACAATAGGTCTTTTTACAATTCTTGTAGTTTGTTGGTTAGACATGGATTTTGGCATTTAGTGTGATATTTTTTGGATTGTTTTGCGTGGAATGGAGGATTCTGGATTATTTATTTTCAAACCGCTGTCATGTTTTTACTCTTTATTTTCAGATGATGAAATTTGCTTGGGATTCTTACGCCACTTATGCATGGGGAAGCAATGAATTGAAACCTGTTTCGAAATCAGGTCATTTACCATCTGTACTTGGTAACATACCACTTGGCGCTTCAATAATTGATGGTCTGGATACTTTGTACATAATGAACTTAAATAAGGAATTCAATGCTGCTGTTAAGTGGATTGAAAGTAGTTTGGACTTTTCTCAAGTAGGTTTCATAGATTCTGTCAAAAATGTATTATTTTACTTCATAGTTTTCTGTTATAATTAGGTGAGAAATCTTATCAGAGTCTTAAGATTGTGAGAAATAAAATTGAACTAAACTACAGTATTTAAGAACTATTTTTCAGGCAGTATGTATTTAGTTGGTATTTGGTGCCGCCTCATGTATTGCAACATGTACACTATGATTGAAGCTGTACAACATTTAACTACAGCTGTTCAAGATATCATACTGACAAAAGTACTGTATAGTGTGCTATTTATCATAGTTGAGTTCTATTTGGAATAGTGAAAAGGACTTTTAGCTCGGACGAAGACTACAACACACATAAACTTCATACAGAATATATGTCACTAGTAACTACTGCTAGACATAATCCGTACACTGGAATATTCTGTTCAACTAGGTAGTTTGTAATTCACTAAATTCTCAATGGTGAAATAGTTCACTGTTTTAACTTCGATTGTATGAAAGTTGTTCAATTTTAAATAACTGTATTAAAGATATCTAGTCTGAAATATCTGAATTACTACATTATCACTTGATTAAAGATGCTTATTGTAAATTTTAAATGACTGATTGAAGTGAAAAAAAAATATTTTTACCGACAAAGAATATTCTTTTCAATAATTTCTTCATCAAATTCAACAGTCATGTTGTTATTAACAACAATGTTTTTTAAATGAAACCTAATCAATAAAGCCAATGGACTGACTACAGCTCTAAACATGTGTTTGCAGTAATGTGCATAAATACAACACTATATTGAATATGAGGTAAATTAAGAAAAATGATGCAATTTTATGAATTTATAGGTTCCGTAGCAGTAGTGTCCAGTCGTGTTTCTTTTGTGTGCAGAGTCCTGGTGTTTTAAGCGTATCGCAATGGCCTCTGCTATCTAGAGTGTTCGATAGTTAGAGGCTTTTAGCAATTGGTTTTTTAAAACAACTATTCCCTTTGATATGTTTGAATAAGGCATTTAGAAGACAGAAAATCCCAATGCAGTTAATCTGAATAGAAATATATCATTGTTATTGCAAAGCACTTACTAATGTCAGCTTACAGAATCAATATTAGTGACGGCTTTGCAATTGGTTCACATAACTCAAGGTTACTAAAAGTGATCGAAGCACTTTGGATTAATCATATACATCCTAAACTGTGTACAATTCGTATGAATTTAAGAGAAAAATCAACTTGACTCATATTGAAGAAGATGAAGTAATGGCAAGTTTCGATGTTCATTCATTATTCACGAATGTTGCCGTTAATGAATCTTCAAGTGTTATTTATAATTTACTTCGTTCTGACGACGAACCAATGCTCGTTGTCCTTTAAATCCAGACAAAATTCTGAAGGCATTGCAACTGTGTCTACGCTCCACATTATTTACATTTAGAGGGGTTCTTTAGCGTCAATCGGAAGACATTGCTATGGGATAACCAGTGTCTCCGCTAGTCGCCTATCTGTTTATGCACTCATTAGAAACAAATGCAATTATCAGATGCTCTAGTCCTCCTTCACCTTTTTAGGTGGTTAAGATACGTGGATGATGCCTTCCTCATAAACAGACGCAGTTTGCTGAATGAACCTTTTCATTTCATAAGCAGTATGTCAGAAACCATCAAGTTTTCCAAAGAGGTTGAATCCGACGAGAATGATTTGACGTTCCTGAATTGTTTTGTATAAAACCAGATGGTAAACTTAAAAAAAATTTTCAGAAGGCCGACAAATTCGGACAGATACCTAGACTACTATTCAGCACATCCATTTATCACCAAAGTAACTGTGGCCAAGAATCTGATTAACAGAGCCTAGTCATTGAGAAGGAAGAAATCAGCAGGAAACTAAAATTGGTTGAATCCACTCTTGAATCAAATAATTATCCCAAAGCCATCATGAAAAGATATTTAAAATATAAAGATAAGAATGGATCGAAACCTGTTGCTAATAATTGGATTAGTACAGCGGTGATTCCTTACCCCAAAGAAACACTGGCTGAAATAAAGCGAATCCTTAACAGTCATGACATCAGAGTGTATTTTCGTGAAACTAACACCTAACGCTCATCACTGGTGAAGTTTAAGCATAAAATAGGAGAAGAAAACCAACAGAATTGTGTGTACCAGATTAATTGTAGGAACTGTGACACCGTATATGTAGGAGTAACTCCCATACAGGTAAATATAAGAGTGAAAGTGCATAAACAATGTCTACAGGTGGCTCCAAAGACCTCTGCAAACTTAAAGAAGCTGGAAAACAGATCAACGATTGCACCGGATTCGATAGAAACGGGACACAAAATCGACTTTGATAGGATTAAGGTTCTACAGAAAGGTTTTGATTGATATAAATAAAGACTAACTTCAGAAGCTTTGCATATTTGGATGAGCTCCAGCAGTTTGAGGAGATGTGAGGGTGTGATGTTAGTTGATGCCTGTCAAAAAATGAATATGTATCACTAGTTAATCATACTTGGTCTAAATTCCCGATTGTGTATGGAGAGGCTAACAAATGTCTTACAACTGTTTAGCCATACACACACCATTGTATACTGCATATACACAAACATTTTCATATTCAGTTATTTACGACCATGAACTTTTAGTCGGACGTAATGACTAAAATTCTGATGAAAAGTGGACTCTGTTTAAAGTGTTTAACAAAAGTAGACTAATATTTGTAAGTCTGAAGTGAAATTTTGATCACAGCTCATACAATTTTGTTTGTTCATTATATTTTGATGACCGTTTCATGACTCATATGATTGGACAAAGTTTTCAAAATAAGAGATGTTCTTTTCATCTCTAAATCTCTGTTATGTTAATTTAGATTAATTTCCCTGAAGAAGTTCGGACGAGTTTGCCGAACGAAAGGTTAGAATTGCTCATTCCGATTTCTCTGAGATTTTACAAGTATAATTTTTACAAATGAATAATGTTGTCAGTAAGGATTATTCTTTAGTTAGTACGGTCACATTACTGCAGAACCTGGTGAAGTTATCAGAAATAATATATTCTATGTTCATTCCAACTGGTCTTCTGAAATTTATATAATTATCTACGAAAAATAGTGGTTCAAAATTTATTGAAGAATATCTGATGTATTTGTGTGGTGATCAATTGTCTTTAACACCAGAAAAAGACTTCAGGGAACATCAGGTAACCCAAAGGAGGAAAGCATCGTCTTAATAATCAACCTGATCATAAAAATGACACTTCCTAATAATTTTTAAGGTTCCCCTCAATTGATGGTCATTCAGTGCTAATGGTGTCATGGATATGAAAAATAAAACTAGCCTAATTTGTATTTCTGTGATTGTGAATTGTATATTACTAATCTGCACTACATTGTCTAACTTGAATCAACTTGTACTACTTTCTTGTGTGACATGTTATAACTAAATCCAAGACATTAATGACACTATCAGTATTATTCCATATGAGAAGTAATCTCAAGAAAACAAAATACAGGATTTGTTTTCTTCGTCCACCTGTTTTTGGTTTTGACATGTTTGTTGTATTATGACATTTAGTTGCAAATAACATCAATATTTCTATCTCTTCGTCCTGTACACACATACTATTACTAAATGCCCTATTCTTATTAAAGGCTGGTGGAGTCATTTGTATGCCTAGAAATGTTCTATGATGGTACCTAATTATAGCCCCTTTTATCAAACTTTGTAATTTGCTGTCAGTCTCCAGTGTTCCCATTAAAAATGGGGAAATGAAAACAATTGTTTTGCTTTTATCATCAGATGAATGAACACAAGCTTAGAAAACTCGACAGTATTAGTGACAGGATTAGATTGTTTACCTGTTGTTTTGAGATGTTGTGTTCCTCTGATTTACTGTTTTGTAGATTGGTTGAACAGTTTAGTTAAAAGCTAAGGAAATGGCCATCCAGTTAGCGTAAGTTGTCAAAAAGCTGTCTACTAATAATAGTGATCTTAAAACACTCCATACTCTCACTATCAGAAGTAGTTATATTAGACTGGTGTATGTAATTCACTGTCTCAATATACAAGAAGGGAGATAAGTCTTCCTGTGATAATCACAGGGAGATAAGCTTGACTATTGTGGTATCTAAAATTCTAGGCTAATTAATCATGCGTGAATTAAGTAGTGCTAGGGAGAAACACACTCCAGAAAACCAGGCAAGCTTTAAACCAGGAAGAGGGTGTATTGATCATATCTTCACTCTTTGACAAATTTCGGAACATTGGCGTACTTACCGTCGTCCAGTCATCAAATTTTTTGATATGAAGGCGGAATTTGATAGTGACAACGTTTATCCGTGAAGGGAATGCCGAAAAAGCACATTGTACTGACCAAGGCTCTCTAATCGAACTCATGCAGCCAGTCAGGTGAGAGCCTACATAGAATTGTCATATGAAGTGGGAACAACCATTGGTGTCCGTCAGTGACGCCCAGTGTCCCCATTTCTGTTCTAATCTCAACATGGATGTACTAATGGAATTGACCCCAACTGCCTTGAGCGACTCGGGAATTGACTTGTTATCAGGGTATATTTTTGTTGGCTTAGAATATGCAGATGACATAGTCCTGCTTCTACGTGAAGACGCTGATAAAATGCAGAGTCTTCTGAACACCTTGAGGAGCGGCAATCTTCGAATTTTCGGTATGCAATTCGTTCCTGCTGTCAAATGTAAGATTATGCTACAGGACTGGATTACAGTGACTCCTAGCTTAAAGATAGGCAGGAGTGAAGCGGTAGAGCGTGTTTACCCCTTCACTTATTTGGGATGTTACATCAGCACCAACGGACTGATTGTTGATGGACACTCAGCATCGGTGCGAAAGACTAAGGATTTGCCAACTTACGTCATCTCTGGCGTAGGCGTGATATCCGGCTATCGATCAAAGGATGTGTGTACTGCTCAGCAGTTCGGTCCGTCCTCCTGTGTGGGTGTGAGGCATGGTCATTGAAAGTTGAAGATATGAATAGACTAGCTGTCTCTGATCATAGGTGTCTGCGTTCTATCTCCCGCGTACGTGGTATGATTGGTTGAATAATATTGTGGTTAGACGTCGAGTGGGTTATATAAAGAGAGAAAATCTATCGATGAGGTTGTGAAGCTACATTGATTGAGGACATGTGTCACACATGCCTAGCCATGTCCTTCGTTGGCGGTCAATGTTGGCTGACATACCATCAAGTTGGAAAAAAGCTAGCGGTGGTCAAACCAAAACTTGAAATCATTCTATGAAGTATTTTTGACAGTTAAACTGAGGCACGTAAGAAGGTATATGCTTCCTAGTTTGGGGTCCTCTGAATTTTAAGAACCAATGTCTCGGGATAATTCGTGATCTGGCTCGAAATCGTTCTCAGTGGTGTAGATGCATTTTTACGCCTTGTGAGCTCCCATATTCACTGAACCCTATTTTTTCAATGTTACTATTCTTTTTCACACAATTTGCTTATTGTTCTTTAGGATCCCTTCTTTTCGTCTTTTTTTTCTGCTTCCTGTATGCTGCATGGAATTTAGCAGCTTGAACTGCTGCACGCCTGTACAATGTTCTATATTAAAACTCAGTCATAAATTTTGTATTCGGTTTTGTTACTTTAGTCATATCAAACCGTTGATTCTCAATCTATAATATAGATCATGTTACTGTTTTGCCTTTCACTATTACATTCAGCTGTTATGACATTTCTCAAATATATGTGCTGTTTTAATTCACTAGATAATTGCTGTATACAAAAATACCCTACAATGTGATGTTTGAAATAAAAGTACTGTAACAGTGTCTATCGTCTTAAAGATTCGCACAACAGGCGTAGGCGTAGCATGAACTTATATATGAGAATCTGCAGCATATACGCTTATATCTGAGTTGTCTTGATATTCATTGTTTGTGTATAATGTCATTCAACTGGTAACCACATCGTGTGATTAACTTTAATGTCAAGTTGAATGTATTTCATTTAAAAGGAGGTTATTATTCACAAATTGAAGTCTTCACACATTATGCCTTGGATAATAATCATACATATGCTGCCTGTTGATTGGAAAAAGCTAAATAGCAGTTAGAATATAAAGTATAACGCTGATCTAGTAGGGTATTCGCGTTGGGGGTTAACTTTTGTTGTTGTCACAGTTTTTTCAGGTATCATCTGAGTAACCATACATCTAAACAGTTTAAAACACTGTAATATAAGATAGCCTATTATGATGCGAATAATTTCACCTTTCCAAAGTAACTGTGGTGAAATTTCACCTCATTGCGAATTAGTATGCAGATTGCAAATTTTATTTAACGTACTACCAGTTCGCCCAAGTAGTTATCCACAATTTAGGTGGTCTGAGCTGAATCGGTTTTCTGAGCTGAGTCAAACCGCCGGGTATACCGCTGATGAGATCAAAATGGCCTTCTGATGTTTAGATCATTTCGATCTGGCTATCAAATACTACTGGTTGACGCGAGTGTTCTCCATCTACTCATATTAATCAACCAGTAGTATATTGCGTTATGAATTCATGCTCGCTTTCTTGATTGCCATTTATAGTATCTCACATATTATGATCTGAACAATTTTGGTTTCACACAGTACTGTGTTAATTACAAATCACCAATTAATCTGCAAACTGCGGTGTATTGCTCGAAATTGCAGTTGAAAGCAATCGTGCTGTAACCTTTTGTGTGACTACATCTATTGTAAAATAATACTTTTCTTGTTTACATCTTACACTATTCATTTGATTGTTTGTTTTCATCTTCTGTTTTGATTTTCTGCCTGTTTTCTTATCTTCTACGGCACATTATTTGATGTTTACACTTCTACACCACGAACCACAATGTATTTAAGTGTATATGCTTTTGGTTACTTTTTCTTGACTAATATTATTATCTACATGATTAATTAAAGTTCATGTGAAATAATCGATGATAGTCATTCGATTGTTTATTTTAATGATATACAATAGTGCAGTGGTACTTAGTTGTGTGAAAACTGAAATAATCTAGTGATCATAATGTGAGATGTGCATTTCGTGTTCATGTAATTAGCATAGAAGAATTTACAGAAAATCGCACTATAAATCAATAGTTTTCTGTACAAGAATGTAACAGAAATTGAAAGAATTAATTCGGGCAACAATATGATTTGTTACGATGGCAGTTTGATGCATCTTTTAGCCACTTCATTGAAAGTTATCTTTTATGCCGAAATACGCTAGCAGACGACATTCTTTTCTTCATCGTTCATAGTTTCGATAACAATGCAATTATTGATTGTTTTGTTCTATGCCGTGCTAAAATTCGAAAGGCTATTTCAGTGGAATGCATTTATCCATCTCATATCATTCATTTGTGATTATCCAGTGTAGCGAAACGACACCCGGGGCAGGATTTTTTTCATGTGTTAGGTTCTAAGTTGCATTTATTGTATCATGGCTAACGATACCAGGTGCAGTTGTCCAGGTGGTATTAAATAAGGTGGGATTTGTTGCAGAGGCTCGTTTCATTGGCTTCAACTTGAGTCACTTAAACCAATGAGTGAGCAGTCAGTACCGATGGGGTCCAACAGGTCGGATGTGAGGACAGATACTCACCGATGACTTTGGCTGGCGGTCGCGCTGAAATTACGGGTCATTAAATTCTAGCCCAAGTAGTTGGATGATCAACGGGTTTGACTTCATAACGTAATGCTGAAGAGTCCCAAGCTAGAATGAAACAACTGTCCAGTATTCCTTGGTTTTCAATGGTTCTGTAACTGACATCAATGCATGGTCACACTTGAAGCTAATGTGCCACATCACACAGTACTGCTTCTTATTAATTACTTCACTTCAATACCTACCTGTGGAGTTGAAAACTTACAGTGTGAAATTTTATAGATACACTGAAGTAGGATGGTATTTTTTTTTAGTGTGTATTTGTGCACTAGAATTCATTTGAATAACTGAATACTGATCACGATCAATCAGTATGCTGCAGATGTTGTTAACAAGTAATGATAAAAGTGAATGCATTATTCACTCAGTGTGTTGTAAGCTATAATTTTTCACATCAATATAATTTGTTAGTTTCTGTGCATAATGCATGGAATATTTAATAATTGTTATTAAATTGTCCGTTATTTATTTATTTCTATATCCAGCCAAGTGTTGTATCGGTATTCGAATTCAATATCAGATATCTTGGTGGTCTGTTGTCAGCTTATACATTCACTAGAAAACCTGTAAGTGTATCTATGTGAAATAAAATTATTTGCTTATGTCATAATTTGTGTGTTTGTTTGTTTGTTTAAGGTAGTCGAAAAGAAACACTGTATACATATATTTTGTATTTCAGTTTTTTGTTGTTTTTTCAGTTTATTGCAAAAGTCCTACTTTATTAACCTTTGTTGCTGATTTTATGTTGCAAAAGTGTTTGTGTTAGGAATTTTATCATTAAATGAACTTTAACGCAAATTGTCAAAACTAATCACATCTTAGACATTAGATTGCATTGTATTATAAATTAAAGTACTTCAGTATGTATTTATGTTTGTATGGTGATGATATACACTTTTCACACGGAGTCAACTTGGGTTTTGCCTTTCCTTATTCACTTACTTTCTTCAGTTAACTGAGGTGATTTTGTTTGCTTGTTCATTGCAATAATCTGTATATATATCTCTTTTCTTTTCTCATTTCCAAAGTGTATTTATTTGAATTAATGCACTACTGCGCTGCAAGATTCCTGTTATTTATCTATTGCACTTTTCTCTAGTCTTCATTATTTAATTAGTTATAAGTGCACGAGTTGATAAATCATTTCGAATGATTCAGTTATAAGGAGTATCGATCATTATTATTATTATTATTATTGTTATTATTATTACTTAGTAATCACCACTTTATCTACTGGTGTTTCAAGAGTCAGTTAACTAAATTGCCTTAAAGTATCTTACATCTTTCTTTGGCTGTATTAAATCTATCAAGCGACTCACAGTTCTTGCAAACATAACTAAAGTTCATTAGAATAAATGCAAACCTATTTATTGTGTATGCTAAAAGTGTTCTACAGATAACAGTTTTCATAGACTATCTTGCGTAAGTACATTTTACTCTGTACTATTCAGTCTTTTTTAGCTGGGTCTACGATTGCCCACAAGCTTTCATTCGTCCTCACACGGTTGCTCCATTTAACACGCGGATAACCGATTTTGGTTCCACCCAGAGACATGGCGCGCGATGCCACTCAACGACCTCCCGAGGGTGTGTCTAATCCATTTTCTATTTTCTCCTGCACATTTGTTCGGCAATAGGTTCTTGGTTGGTTCGTTGTCAGAGTCCTTTGCTGCTTGTACTTTTTTGTCAATCTGATCTTAGATAAGTAGACATAGTCATAGTCATCAAAATAAACTGTTTATCACTTAAAACAAACATAGAATACCGTTTAAATTTATGAAATAGCTTACATTTTAATGGTCAGTACGTTAACAAAGTTTCTGCTTGCTTATTTTTTCTGGCCATCTGATCTCCAGTATGGAGCGATTTTTCAACACTAGCTTTTTGGAGTGTTTGAACCAGGTGATATGATATTGAATTCGTAAAGGTCGTTATTATGCTTTTATTTAGCCACACTAGTAGGCGTTCCCGGATGCGAAGGTGTAGGAAGGTCTAGATTTCCTGGTTGGGGTCTTCGGGACGGTAAAAACCAATTGCTGGAGACAATCGGTGATATGGCTCAAAATCGTTCTCTGTGGCGCAGATGTATCCACTCTTTGTGACTTATAATACCCAATGAAACTATATTGTTCTTCGTTATTACTATTCTTTTTGCCTCACATCTCTGTTTACTGTCTCTATTTCGCGTTTCTTTTTACTTTCTTCTTCTCAGGCTTTGTCTGCTATATGGAGTGTAGCAACTTGAACTGCTGTATGTCGGTGCAAAGTTCTATGTTGAAACCAGTCAGCCAGTCCTAAATGCGGAAAAAGAAGACCCTAGCATTAGGGCCAATATAACTCTAGCTGCTCCACAGGAGAAGTTAGACTAGTAAACAAATCGTTTTTTGTATCGGTCTTGCGCTGATTCTAATAGTCAATTTTTAATTCTTATTGCTGCAGTATCTTAAACAACGATGGTACCGTTTCTATTCATGATGAGTAGTGAACAAAAGTAATCAGTTCCCTCACCAATTGACCAGATTTAATTACATTCGAGTCAGTAGTTGTAAGTAACATTTACCAAATCAGCCACGTTGCATGTTGGTGGGCGAATAAAGAAACTTGGTGTGTAAAACTGAGACTTTCAGTTTGTTAAACAAATAAACTTAATGGCTTCCTGCTGTCTTATTTCAGTCATCCTTCTCTTCTATTTGTACATGGCCGTTCTACTGTAAATATAGCACTGACTTAGTTAGGAGAATCATTTTTGCACTTCTTTTGGTAACATCACTTTAACTGGTGTTGACGAATATGATCAAGGTATAGAGTAGTTATGTGACTCATAAAGATGATCAACGTTGGTTGATTTTATTGGTTTAAATGAATAGGATAGTTCACGTCGTTATTTGGCATTGGTATGTTTTATCCTGTACTTCTGTATGCTTTCGTACTGACTGAGCAGAACCATTATTTATGTGAATAAAATATTCAAGAAGTGCTGACAATAGCCGATTAAATTGTTACATTTAGCGCTATTACTAAATAGATATGTGTAAGGCCGTTACACATCTTGTTGAATCCTTCTATACACTGAATTTCTGACCAGTAGGAATCACTTACTTACGAACAGTACTGCTCCTTGCCTTTTTGTCCTGATTAAGTTGTCTAGCCAAGTTTATATCGGATTGTAGTTTGGTCTGTTTTGTCTTATAATCTGGTTGTTAACGATTCCCTACTCTCATTTCGATCACCTTTCTATCTCCTTCTTCTACTTCTATTCTCAAATATCAGAAAGTGATCAGTTCTTGATAATCATTATAATTTCTTTTTTTAAAATTTTCTAATTCATTAATTCAAGTTGTTAGTCGTATTGTTCGCATTTCCATTGTTTTAGATTATTCATCAGTAAATGGTATTATTTGTTTGTGCATGTTTAGTTAAACAATGGCACATTGAACAGATGATAGATTTCATGGTAAATTAAACATGTATTCATTGTATAGTGTTTCCAGAAGTATTACTCACTTCTTTGTGCTCGTTAACATGTACAGTTTCAGGCACAATTCTAAGATGAATAAATAATTTGTTTGTTTTCTTACTTACTCACTTATTGTATTACTAATTGCATGAATCATTGGTTAAGGAAGCTTATTTATCTATTGTGAAACTCATGCCATGGTTAAAGTTTAACGCCACTTATATCTTCTGATCATTATGATATTTATCATATAATTGTGATGCGTTGTTCTAGATACTGAAAATTTATTTTGTATGTCGCTAGTACAGTGCATTCGAACTACACATCACCCATCTTTTTTTGAGCTATGAGGAATCATGAACATTTATATTGATTAAATACAAGCCACTACTGAATTTATGAATATGCACATGGTTAATAACATTTAAATCACATTGCTTATCTATGGTGATATGGTTTACCAGTTAAAGCACTATCCTTTCAGCCAGTAGGTCTTAACTACCAATTCCACTTCTTATAGTTCTGTATGAGCGATCAGGTAGTATGATCAGCTGTCACACAATAAGCGTGTGGCTCATAGCATAACCTGGCACATGAAAAAGTCCACTACGGTCCACTTGAGCTCTTACTAAACATGTGTTCTCTATATTCCACTTTTATTTGCAATATTTAAAAACCTTGTTTAATTTATACTTTAGTATTCTACAATGTGCATACTCTTTTGTTGATTAGCTTGTAAGTTGTTTTTTCCCCGAAAAATCTTATTGTGTCAGTATTGTGCTGTGTGTTGAGCAACTTCCTTTTTCTTACTTAGCTTAGCACTATACACTCACTATTATTAAAATCACTGGAAACAATAGCTACACGAATACCTTCCGGAGTTATAACAGTCTTTTGCTAATATATACTATGCCTTTTTAAAGTAAATTTAATAGCTTTTGCATTTACTGTATGAATGAATGATGAATGAATGTCAGCTTGTGTGTTAATTAATGTGTGAAGTGTTAACATAATTGAAATTTTTCTCCTCTGAAATATTTGTAATCTGTCATTGCTTTTCTGCTAAACAAACTAATCAGTGTTGAGTAGCAAGTGTTTGATTTTATTGATTTTGCACTCTTTTCTTAAAAAGTAATCTCCTTTGTAAATCAGGGCAAAACAAAACAAATCTCCTTATTAATTAATTTATTAAACATATCACACATTTATTGTTATGAACAATAAATTGTGTTCGAAACGTAGTCCAGTAAATAATACTGTTTGACTTTATGATATATCTAATGAACAAATTAATATGGAATAATACATTCCCACGGGGCTCAAGTTTTACACATATATTGAAACTAATCTTCACAAATTATTTTTTTTAATCTTCAAGTACCAGAGTGTTTGATTGACAACTGTCAGCTTGGGATTTCAGTTTTTGATTCATATTGATTCATAATACCTACTGCTGATTTAATTAATCCTGTTTTATAGATTTTGCTTAACAAGGCAGTGGAACTTGCTCAACGCCTGTTACCTGCATTTGAAACACCAAGTGGAATTCCAATGAGTTTAGTCAATTTAAAGACGTAAGTTAACTAGTAGAATATTTTTATATCACTACTGTAAGCATGTTAAAAATCATTAGGCATCTAGGTGAGTAATTTATAACAAATGCGTGTTGCAAGTGTCAAGCCACCCAAGTAAAGTAGCCAGTGAGTCAACTAAGAGAACCAAAAATCCTAAAGTAAAGGGTCCTGTCCAAATACCAACCAGAGTTTTACAAATCACCTCACCGAAACGTTTTGTGGTGAAAGTCCAAAGACTTGTGACAAGTCCCAGGTCAAAGTATAACGACAGACTCAGATAAGCGAAAACTTGTTCGCAACTTATAAATAATTGCATATATAAAGTATGCTTTTGTTGGCTTTCAAAGAATCTTGACTGACCTTTCGTATCATCGTCGAATCTACATCTTCAGAAAGAGCATTATGCTTAGTGTTTAATATTTTTGAGCTTTTGCCAGTATATTTCGATTTCGCCTGGTTTAAATTTTCTGAAAAGCAATACCCAAATGGTTAGTTCTAATGAATACATATTATGATGTTGTACATAATATGACTTTCTGTCAATCCAACCTTACTCCTCATATGAAACAAGTTAGTTGACTTACCTCTTTTATTTAAGATTTTATTGGCAATCACCAATCACTAGTTTATCGAATATACTACGTACTTGTGATATTGCAACAAAAACAAAAAAATCGCTGTCTCACGATATGACGTCTGTTGTTGTTTGGGTTACACGTTTACTATACTATAACCGACATTACTTCTTGCTACAGAGGGTATAGAACTAGTGCATTTCTATTAATAGTCCTGTCTTCTGCGTGGCTTCGTTCCAGTGGTATTAGTAGTAGTAAGTAGTCAGTAAGCATTAGAAAACAAGCGACCATGTATCCGGGCATTTTTGTCTAACATGCACGTGATTATAAATTTGCATAGTAGACATGATGATACTTCCGCCATTCTCAAGTTATGAAATGTACAAAAAGATTGTAAATAGTTTGCATGGTGTTCAATTTTTGTAAATGATTTAACTAGTCATTCTACCGTTAAATATTTCCTGTGTTGAATGCCTATTTTTTATCCCACAGTTGCTACTCTTCTGTGTTCTCGTTTTTGATAGTTAGTCACGTATATACATTGCAAGAAATGCCCTTATTTTTTGCATACAACATTGTTATTATATATATATATATATATATATATATATATATATATATATATATATATATATATATATATATATATATATATATAATATATAGAGCCATAACTCTTGCCATCTATAGTGGTTTTAACATTCATCAACTTATTTTATAGTGCAATTAAAAGCTGTTTACAGATGTAGAGAATTCAATTGACTATTGCCCTGGGTCTGAGTTTCTTCAACTCATAATTATTCTGTATGTTCTATATTTTTGCTGCATATATTACTACTTATCATACTTACCGTACTCGGTCTAAGAATAATCAGTCTTTTCTATTGTTTAGTTATTGGAATTATCTTATCATTTGGTTTCTACCACTTTTCCACCTCTATATCGGTCATGGTTGACCTGTTTCACCTGATTATACTGTGGTGGTCTTTTGTAGTATTTGTTTCCCCTGCCACAGTTTATTACTTACCACCTTATTCACCTTACTAAAAAAAGGCGAAATTCAGTGTTTGGTACAGACACACAGGCACACATTCTAATCATTAATAATGTAATATACTTCAGTTCAAGTATTGTTACTATTATTACTATATTCTTTTTCCAATAAGTCGAACGCATTTGTTTTGTATTTATTATTATCATTACTATTATTGCTATTCTTGTTGATATTGTGTTGTGTTCTCGTTACCTTAGTCACTAATGTTACTTGTTAGCCTTGAACATAATTTTACTATTGATCATGAAATGTGTTTTTTGTGTGTTCTCTTTCTCTTCTTTCGCTTACTCTCCCTCTCTCTCCCTTTCCCTCAAACAAATCAGGTTAAAGTGTAGTAACCATTGTACAAATTTTCATTTTCACATTGTCCACTTATATGGTGAACTTTGCAAGGCATTTTTAAATTATGTTTCTGGGAATTCTTGAGATAATAAACACTATAGAATTGTTATCAGAAGCAGATATTTTCAATGATTCTTGATGAATTTTATTATTCTGGTTATTATTATTATTATTAACGTTCCATGAGCTGGATGACCTAAATATAGAGTTTATATTATCTATATGGGCAACATCTTCAGTGCAACCTCAGTGTGGCATTGAGCTTTGTGGATTTTCCATGGTAATCTTTGAAGCGCATCCCCTTATTATTGATCTAAAGATTTATTATAACTGGTTTAATAAGATAAATATTTAAAACGAGGTTTATACGCTGATGTAACATCGGAAGTGATGTAAGAAAGGCTACCCATGGATGAATATGCATTTCAAGTATTGGTTTGTAGGGATTTGGTTGATTGGTTACAGGATTTCATCATGAGCTGACATTGGTTAGAAAACCATTGGAAAACCTGGGAGTACTGGACAGCTGTTTCGTCCTAGTTTGGGACTCTTCATCAGTACGCACCCACCGGGTTCAAACCCAGGACCCGGTGAGTGCATATTGCTGAAGAGTCCCAGGTTTTCCAATGGTTCTCTAACCAATGTCAGCTCATGATGAAATCCTGTAACCGAATATGCATTTCTCTTTTTTATTACTGGTATCTTTTGCGTACAACCGCATATGATGTAAGATGGTGAGAAACATTATGCTACACTACGAGTTGCCACGGTCTGCACACTCGTGTTGTTAAGTTCCCCTTTTTTGGTTTTGTTTTCCGTTCGCTCATATAATTACAGCGTACAACTGCAATGGAGGTATTCTCCGATTAGGTCAGATATTACCTCGCTTTTCGCTAGATATTAGTTGTTTATCTTTCATTTCGTCTGGTTTTAGATCATCATTTAAATTTTCCCATACACTCAGTAACTTTCATCAATATAACCAACAGGCAATACAATTCTGACTTACTGTTATCCAACTCTGCCGAATTTTCCTTTTCTATATACGACATCGTTTCATTCTTCATTCCCTTGAATAACTACAGACTGTGTGTTTGTTTTCCTTTTCTTGAGCTAATTATTCTGGCCTTCTGGAGAAATAGAAGTTTGGCTCATTAGGCCTAAGCATTCAACACTTAGCTGCCGGTCCCAGGTTCGATTACCACTTCACATACTTCAAACTAGATAATCGAGCAGTATGTTTAGCCCTCAGGTAATCAGTGCGATTCATGACCAGTATATCGAGAATCTGTCCCGGTTAACCGTATTCTGTTTATCACTCTAGATACAAAAAGCTTTAGTATGTTTGAAGGTGACCAGAGATATTTCATCTAATTCTATTGCTAAAACTTACGGTGGAGGATTTTGTCTAGAAGGAAGATGAAAGCTTTGCAATGAAATCAACCAGCTCAGAGAACACAACTAATTCAAAATCACCCACCTGAGCTTCATATCTTCTCTATTATTTCAAAACCCAAGAACATATTAGATAGTTTCTATTTGTAAAGCATAATTGCTTCAAAAGATCACACTTACCAATTATTGATAAACCTGTTCTGAAAATTTACAAATTATATTATGGATTTATTCGGCAAAGTTCATAAAGCCACAACAACTTCGTAAACAATTTATGAACATTAGTTTATGCAATAGTGGATGACTGTAGTAAGTTGGCTGTTTGACAAAATGACAGTCGGTGTTTTTTTTTCATTTCTTTGCCTTCTGAGTGAAACATAGGGCTTATGGCTTTAAATTTTCAGTAGCGATAGTGTTGCTTTTGTGAGCTGTGTTTCCTAGCCTCAGTTTCAACCTTCCTCCTTTTCCAGGTTTACCATCGACCAGTGAACTGAGCTAGTTTCAGAGGTGCATCGACTAGGAGTCTAACCCGTACCACGTGTGTGTGTATGGCTCGCGAGCATTCTACAATTGAACAACCGGCGCCATACGCTTTGATGAAATGACAATTAGTGTATCTATCAGATTATGCACAATAATAAATGAAGCTATTAAATTCGAAATATATTTTATATTTAATCACTCTGCGTTGAAATGTTTCACTATTGATTTTCTTGGAAGATAGTTTTCGTCTTTCTTTTAACAGCCTTTTCTTATCATTGTGTTAAATGCTTATTCTTTTTCCAAAATTTCTTTTAGAGGAGATAAACGAAATTTCATTTGGGCAAGCTCTCGATGTTCCATTCTATCGGAATTTGGTACCTTACATATGGAATTCAAATATCTTTCCGAGTTAACTGGTAATCCAGTGTATGCAGAAAAAGTGAGTTATGCTAAATTCTAAAAAACAAATCTGCAATAAACATTGATGAGTGTATAAATCTTATCACTCGTAGGTTGGTAAAATAATACTATTTGAAAATAATTGAAAAATTCATTGTTGAGTTGAAATCAGTTTTTAAGAAGTTAAACGCTATGCATCTAATAAGACATATATAGTTACAAAATTGACTGACTGAATGATTGAACTCATTAATCAGTGTAGATCTTTGTGCAGAAGTTCAACAGATCAGGTTATCATACCTTGAAAAATCAAATTAAATAAGAGAAATGAAATCTTGTTGTTACTGCCATAGATAAACACGGGTAACAGTAAAGAGAATAAGTTACTAAAAAATAGTGATACTCAGGATCTGCAAGACCGTAAGGAATGGTTACATCTGCGACATTGTCAATGTTCTTCAGGTATATTGCTAAGAGTCTTTTTAGAACTACGGTTACGCAGCATGTATCTCCTGACTTGTCCCAGAAGAACGGTCAAAGAGTTTATGAGTCGATACCATGGTTTGAATTCGTCCTACTTAATTCTTTTTCAACTTGATCGTGATTCAGTTGAAATTACTCTTCATGGAAAGCAATGTCTTGACATGAGTAACAAATATCTTAGTCATCTCAATGATAAACTTTACCACCTGCTAGGTGCGCAAAGTGTATCAGTTCGTATGGATATGGAGCCGGTGGGAGAAAAAATCCCCTGTACCAATTACTTGACTTCCAATAACTTACCGATCCTATAGAAGGTATGATAATGACTTCCTCATATACATTATGTTTAGTTTTCTTTAGGAGATCTTGGTAAAAAGGAATGTGTGAAGGAATTCAAAAAGCATAATTACTATGTTGCTCATATATAATTTGTAATCCTGGTTTTCAATTGAAATCTTTTTTTCTCTCCCATTGAGGACTTACCCACCAAATCTTCTTCATATTGAGCTTTATTTTATGGCATGATGTGTTTAATTGCAACTTATTTTGCTTACTAACTCGTGTAGTGTATTTGTTAAGAAAGAGAAACGCGTAGCTAGTCAGTTACTTGCACTCATAATCGTCATATCGTTGGTTATGCATCTAGAGTGTTTTGATCACTCAGCCACCGTAATGAGTTTAATTTGTACTTTGCATTGGTTGTCTGTTTCTTTTTCCTAACCATTCATTTGATTGTTGTGTTCAGATAGCCTTTGCTAATCAATGAATCGGAAAAAAATAACCATGAAACTCAGGCGTATTATTATTTTTTAATGCTTATTCAAAAACAGTATTGAAGATCCATCCTTGTATAGAATAAACTAAATAATTATCATAATACTAATGACACTAGTATATTGGCGTTTATTTAATATTTGACAGATTTATTCGTCAGCTGATACATTAAAAAAAAATGCAAACTATGAATTTAAAAAGAGTATACCTAATAGTTAACTAATTGATTGTTCAATTATACTTCCTTATTTTTTAATGATCACCATTCTATTATCATCTATGACTCATACGTAGTAACTGGCACTCATGGATCAGTCTCAATCGACTAATTGGCGATTCATTGGTATACTGTAAATTTCAGCTGAATTTTTTTAAACTTTGAATTTGGTATACTTAGTGAAAAAAATAGTCACTTTATGATTAACAAACAACATAGCATGAGTGTATAAGTGATGGATAAGCAGAATCTTGACTACATGTGTGTGTGTGTACACCTATGCTTGTTAGTAAATTTTCTGCACAACAGGTATGGCAATTTGAAACAGAAAAAAAAACATTAGACTTCTGTATAAATTGTTACTTAACTGCTACTATCGATTGATAGACTTCCACAAGTATTATAGATCGTTTACTCTTTCACTTCTATATATATATATATATATATATATATATATATATATATTGGTGACGTTAGACGAATTATATGGTATGTTTCTCCTTCATTTTTTGTTTCAAAGCCACGTACACATAGAGCAGGCAAAATGTATTAGTAATTCACATGTTACTTTGAAGAAGTTTTATTACACGTTCTATTAAATCCTAATTTAATTAATCAATTAATAGCTTCCTTTGAGTTTGTTTGACCATACTACTAAATCACACAATGGAACAGTATTGTACTTACGGCATTCTGAGGTTTTAGAGATTGATTTAATTATGGTGTGTAGAACAGTAAATCGTGTTGGTGAACATTAATTAAAAAGACGTAAATTGGCAAAAAATATTCTTCGCGTAGCTCCGCTTCACTGCTGTATTGTAAAAGGTCAGGAAAATGCCCATAAAGGTCATTTGTTCTTAAAAACTGTACAGCTTTGAAGCGAATTTGCGATAATAATATTCTTTACTGACCTACGCGTTTTTTTCTTATTCTAAATATCAGTCAGTAAATAATACCATTTCATCACTGTACGATAAGTCATAAGTCAGCTACTACTGTAGCTTCTAAATTATTTTTTTCCTTCACGTTCCCATGTGTGATTTTCAAGGAATGTAAAATTTCCTGCAGGTAAAAACTTCTTTGTTCCTTTATGTTCCCAGTGAAACATAGGGCTTCAGACTTAAGCCTGAAGCTTCATTGGCAGTGGTGATTATTTTTACGGGATTGGGTTGCTAGCCTCATGCCCAACCTTCCTTCTTTACCAGTCTTATTACTGGCTTAGCGAGGTAAAGGAGTGTGTCGGCCGGGGATCGAACTCCGGACCATATGAGTGGTCGGCGAGCATTCTGCTGCTGTGCCACCGACGCACAGGTGAAAAAACGTTTGCCTAATACTAATTTTCAAAACTCTATCTATGCAGATAATTATGTGTGTGTGTGGTGGTAGTCCATTGATGATTATACTTTTGTGTATATAAATGGTTTTCAAACTGACTCACCACTTTTCTTCATTATTATACTTCTGATATTGTCTGTTTGTTTTTGCCGACCAGATAAATAATTTTCCTCTTCCTTTTGTATCAATATCAACTTTGTTCAATATTATTTTATCGGATTAATGAGCTTAGATTTTTTATACATATTTACTTTACTTTTTGTCTCACTGAGCAATCTGTTACATACGCTTTTTTATTTCAGCCAATTTCGAAGTATCTTTTTAACGGTATCTTTAACCTGTATACACTAGATATCGCTAACGACGCATCGTCGAAATTCTCATTGATTTCCGATCTTAGGTTTTCCTTCCCTCTGTTCCATCACTTCTGCGTGTTCTAGATAAAAGGATAAACAGTTAATATAAATGTGTTTTACCTAGTGTGTTATGTGTCAGTTGTGCCAACTGTCAGTATACAAAAGGCACAAGGGGAATAGGAAACATTTGTTTGACTAATAGAATCTAAATAACACTTGGTGATAAAAAACTAGGGCACATATACTTCGTGATTTTTTAGGACTCGTTAGGTCTTTACTCCTACTTTAATCGGATTTCAGTATGGTGAATTATTGTCATTATTATTTTTTAAACACCCATCCTGGAAATCAATGTTTTTTAATCAATAATTTAGTTTTCGTGAAAGGATTAAATCCTACTGTAAATTCTCCAATGCATCACTGAGTTGTTCATATACTGACAGGAACAAGCGATCAGCGTAACCGTACCAATTGACATTTGTTAATCATTCAACATAATCACAAAAATGGTCGTCGATTTCTGGGTTTATTGTCTTAAGGGTCTTTAAATTCAGTAGTTATGTATCGATTCTTGATGAAATGGTATGAAATTACATATAATGGTACAAATTTATTCTCTTTCTTATTATTTTAAGCAATTAAGCTATAATTTCCATGATATCGATAGAAACTTATCTGTTAATCTGAAAAGAATACGTGTTTTTTTGTTTTAACAATTTTAGGTGATAAGATGATAATAGGATTTCAAAATGTTTTGTCAATGTAATCAGTTTCGGCATGTGTTTCTTATGTTTTGCTAATTCAATTTTTAAGTGTTTTTATCAACTGAACAAAGGTAATCTCCTTATATATATATTTTTTTCTTTCGTTTCTTTGTTCATATATTTTTATTTTATAGGTAGACAATATTCGCAAGGTTTTGCAAGAAGTCGATAGACCAAATGGTTTATTTCTTAATTATATGGATCCTCATACTAAATCATGGTGTGGTAATGAAGCTGGTTTATCTGCATTAGGCGATTCATTTTATGAATATTTACTGAAAGAATGGATTCGAACTGGTTATCGTGATAAAAAAGCTCTTGAATTATATAATTCTAGTATAGAGGCATTTCAACGTATAGGCTTATTTCGTAGGAGTCCACGTGATAACCTGCTGTATGTCGGCAATTACAAAATTGGCAGTGTTAGTAATTCAATGGATCATCTCGCTTGTTTTGTTGGTAAGCTTTGAGGCTAATTTCAGCATATGCCCTAATTTTAAATGATTTATAATGTAAGTTATGTTTTTAGAGAAAGTGCCTTATCCCATCACTTTTGTTATCGTGTTCTCGAATTTATTCTCCTCAGAACATCATACTGAAAAGGTGAACAGTTTATGATGCAATCTCAAATAATTAGATTTTCCAAAATCTATCAATGCATGCTGATGTACTATTGTACTTCAGGATTATTACCTCATATATATTGACATGTTTTCATGACACAAATATTCATTGCATCATTTAATAACAGTCATCATTAGACGTGGAGAGCACGAATACAGCAATACATTGGGCCAACAAAAGAGATATAAACATCTTGAATGTTTTATCTTTAATGTCACAAAAATTCAAAAGCCTACAGGCAATAATCCACAAGTTGACGGAAGAGGCAACAAAGGCGGGACTTCAAACGAAAATAGAGAAGACACAAGTGATGAAGATAACCAACCAAAAAACAACATGCACCAATCACTATCAATGGGATAAATTTGAACGAGGTATTTTCCTTAACTTATTTGGGCAGCATCGTTTCAACTACAGGAGGCGGCACAAATGATGACGTCGAAGGCAGGATCGGACAGGCAAGACAAACCTTCATTACTCTGAAATCAGTGTTGAAATCTTCTGCACTTCTGAATGCAGAACAAGGTGTGGATTTTCAACGCTGATGTCACATCAGTTGTTCTATATGGTTCATAGACTGTCAGCGTCACCAAAAGCATTTCCAACAGGTTTCATAGTTTTACCAGCAGCTACCCTCGCACCATACATAAGATCAGAAGACTGGTTGAGAAAGATAAGCGACAATGAAGTCTGTCAATAAGCCAACCAGGAACCAGTCACCCAACAAATAAAGTCTCTTGTAATAATTCAATTTCAAAAGCGCTTTATATATCTGATATTATTCATTGGCTTAATGCCACTTAGCTCTCAGTTCGTGGATCATATGTTCAAATCTGACTGCGCCTAAGTCGACATTATCAGTCACCTGCAGTAAACACTAGCCTATGAATAGAGTGGCGACTGAATATTCGCACGATACTAGCTGACAAAATAATTAATTCTATGAAATTTTTTAGTAGAATTCCGTCGCTCCAGCTAGTAATTTAGATGACCTATACAATAATAGTGGAGAATGTATTCCAGCTAAGCAGCTGTGAGATAAATATATATAGTGACCATAAATCAATAGTCACCATAGTAACTCGATGAATAATGATTCCGTAATCAACCTCTCTCTCCACCTACCTATATTGCTTTTTAGAATTTTAACCCTATCCCACCCTATTGTGTGGTTATTTGTTAATGCGTGAAGTGCAATAGCTGAGCTTTTTTCTAAATTACTTATCTTTTCAGGGTCAACCATTCTTCCCTTAGTTAAATTCTTATGTTCTGATAATCTGACTATCCCTGACCTACTAGTTTGACCTATGTAGTTGACTTCACAGTCATTGCAGGGTATTTTGTAAATTATATTATTTTGTTTAATTGGGTCCACCGGGTCTTTCAACCTACAAAGTTTGTCTCTGAGTGAGTTTGTGGGTTTGAATGCCACCCTAATTCCTGCTTTATTAAGAATCCTACGTAGGGTCTCAGATGTCCCTTCCTTATATGGTATAACTGTAGATGACTTATATTCTCTCTTATTTATGTTATTACTACTAGTTACACAATTATTTTTATTTTGTTTTTGGCCTTTACTGATCTTAATGAATTTTATGGGATAGTTATTCAACACCAACGCTTCTTCTATCTGTTTTATTTCGTCATTTAGGTCCTCTTTTGTGCTACTTAGTGCTATGGCTCGGTTTGTCAGACACTAAGATAAGTAATTTAGAAAAAAGCTCAGCTATTGCACTTCACGCATTAACAAATAACCACACAATAGGGTGGGATAGGGTTAAAATTCTAAAAAGCAATATAGGTAGGTGGAGAGAGAGGTTGATTACGGAATCCTTGTTCATTGAGTCTACACCCAACACATGCAACAGAAGTGACTCAATGCAAATACCAGAAATATGGAAGATATTATTACCGCCAGTCAGTCAAATCAGAAGAGGATAATAAATAATCTAAAAATTCCGTTTCATTTCAAACACATCACAACATTCTAACAAATAACTTATTATGACTATAAAAACACTCGTCGTATTTCCCATCTAATTGTAATCGATCAATAACACTCGTACTATTATTTCTGAATGTATATTATCTCATATTGAATTTTATTCCAATATCTAATCGATTCCGCACATGTATATAAATGAAGGAAAGAAGTTGTGTGAGTAACTTGATGTGATTATGAGCAATAGTTTGTGCTCGAAACGTCATCAGTTAATATAACTGTACAACACTGTGTGATTTATCAAAATAAAATCTTATCCATTATGGAGTTATACTCTACCACAGTGCCCAAGTTTTATACTTATATCAATAGTAGTTTAGATGACCTATACAATAATAGTGGAGAATGTATTCCAGCTAAGCAACTGTAAGATAAATATATATAGTGACCATAAATCAATAGTTACCACAGTATCTAATCGTACAGCACCATAGACTGAGTAGTAGGCGTCTGTTAAGGTGACATAATCTGATTTGCCGTTTATGTGACTAATCGCTATTTATACAGTTTGAGTGATAGGCTATCGAGCTAGGCTGTGAATGCATATGATAAACTCAATATATTGCATAAGAAAATGAGGCCTACAGTAGGTTTCTCGTCCTGCATGAGCTATTAACTATCAGTATTTTTAGTATTGCAGTAAACAACATTATTGATAATGAGTTTAACGGCAATACCGAGGTATCAATATATATGTCATCAAGCTCATGAACAAACTCCTAGTCACCAGTTCGATTCAAAGCAAACTCACAGGGGAAATTGTAAGTCACAAATAGTATTTATGTAGGCTGTCATCTGCTAATTTCCACTTTGGAAATCAGTTGTTGACAATTGTTCTCACATTCCTCTTTATGGTGAATTTTAATTTTGCATTGTTCTAGCTGATAACTGTTCCATAATTTTGGGGATAGTTAATCAAAGGATGTAATTTTCCCCATATCTTAAATTTAAAGTTCCCTACTTTATTTTTACGAGTTTCACCACGGATTGATATCAGTTAGAGGATCATTGAAACCCTGGTAGTACTGGACAGCTGTTTCATCCTAGTTTGAGATTCATCGGCAGTACGCACCGACTGGGGTTCGAACCCATACTTTATGTTGATTAGAAATTACCTACCACTACCGAAATAACTTGTAAAATAAAGTCTTAGGATAATCAGACTGTTTCATAATAATCAAAATTACCTATCAGTGAAGTTATCTATTCACCGGGTTGCTTAAGTTGAAAACGTAATATGCAAGTCGACTTAATCCATGAAATGTTAAAGATCAATGATTGGAGACCGCGTACTTCTTGATTGGTTTTTTTCGCTTGCTGCTGAGAATTATCACTGTTCGAATTGGTAGGTTTCGGCATACAATAGTCCTTTTGAAACATTATTTCCACTGCCTCTTGACTTTTTAAAATAAACTAGTTACGGTGATTTTAAATCTATCTATCCTACACTTTTCGATTTAAGTAAGCCTAATATTTGAAAAACTTTTGTCATACTCAATAGGGAAAAATTCAGCAGTTGTAGTAACACAGCTTCTTATCATACTTTTGTTTTTCTGTTGTTCATTTCTTGTCAGTTAGAAATATTATCTGAATAGTGACACTTTGGTGTGTTTTCACCAATTGAAAGTTACTTAATTGTCACTTTATAAACTAATGATAATAATAATAGCTTTATTCTGAACAGTGTTTATATAATGTACAGGATTTTCAGCAGAGTTTGTTGCATGTTATTTTCTCTTCGTCCAGAACCCTCAAATAAAATATTAATTGGCAACAAATCGGGCGATACAATGTTATTTTATCTGAATGCAAACCAATCCATTAAGATATCTCTTCTTTGTCTCCTTCCAGAAATGCCCAGCATTCGATGAAAGCCATTTATAAAAAGTTCAGGAGTATATTTTGAGAGCCAAGGACAGAAATTATTAACAGTCATCTCATGTATTGGGATACGTTACCACCCAGGATTATGCTTTTTCTCATGTTTAGTAGAAATTTGCGAATCAGCAGGTTGTAAACATTTTTAAATCCTCGCTAGAGTAAATAATACTATCGAATTTCATATTTCATTAGATTTAAACAAACTGGACGAGAAAAGTTATATGCAGTAGGTTGATGGAGGTTTTCGGTAGCCCAAACATCAGTGAACTATTCCTGTTTCATCCAACACTTTCAACTTTAAATTGATGGTTCTGCATATTTTCATGACTGCATACTACTATATTCATGGTCTGTCATTGTATATTTTAGATAATGTGGCTTATCCATTTTAACCTTAGGTGGTATGCTTGCACTCGGTGCATCCGATAAAAATGATCCTTGGTTTCAACGTGGTGTTGAAGTTACAGAGACCTGTAGAAGAAGTTATGCATCTACTTCAATGGGTCTTGGTCCAGAAATATTTTCATTTACTGATGAGTTATCTGCGATTGCTATTTCCAAGTCTCATAAGCATTATCTTCTACGACCAGAAACAGTGGAATCATACTTTTATTTATGGCGTTTCACCAAAGATCCAAAATACCGTGATTGGGCATGGGACGTTGTCCAGGTAATATTAAAAGTTTCATAAGATTCTGCATAAGTGTAAAATTTTCGTTTTGTTTACCCATATCGGTGTACTATTTAACTATTAGTTTTCCACATTGTTTCATGATTTGTTTACATTCATGTCTGAATCTTATTTTGTGGCTTATGCTGTGATATTTGGATTTGATCCTGATAGAATACAAGGGCGCATTGCACAAGTTCTCTTTCATTTAAAACCACTGTTTTCCACCTTGTAACAAATGTCATTGACAAGTGAGAGTACGTACAAGCTTTATGATAGACGATTGGGGAATACTTCCGTATTAATTTGTTTATTAGATATATCATTCAGTGAAACAGTATTATTTGCTGAATGATGTTTCGAACATAATTTATTGTTCGTAATCATATCACTTGTGTCAAGTCAGTTTCTCCACATGGTTCAGAGACTTGGAGCATCACCAAATGCATTTACAAAAGACTTCAGACTTTTATCAACAACTGCCTTCGCTGCACACTGAGTATCAGATAGCAACAAGGAACTCTGGATACAAACAAACCTGTCTGTCTGTCTGTTTTCGACATAGAACTTTGCACATATGTGCGGGAGTTCAAGTCGCCACAATCCATGTAGCACACAGAGGAAGAGAAGAAAGTAGGAGAAATGCATAATATAGACAGTAAACAGAGGTGAGAGACAAAGGAATAGTAATAACGAAGAACAAAACAGTTTCATTGGAAATCATAAGTCACAAGGAATGGATACATCTGCGCCATTGAGGACGATTTTGAGCCATGTCACCAATTGTTTCCAACCATTGGTATTTACCGTCCCGAGGACCCTAACCAGGAAGTCTATACCTTCCTACGTGGCCTAGACTAACTTTTGTCGATTTCATTGACTGGTGCCATGTTTTCGTTTGACCACCGCTAGCTGAAGAACCTATCTCCAGACAAATAAGCCCAAGGAAATGAGGATCGATTAGACGCACACTTCGAGGAGACCATTGAGTGGAACCTGAATGGGAGTCTAAGATTTGCTTGTCTAGACTGACATGGAGGTGACTGTTTGAGAAGGAGATGAGAGCTCATCGACAGTCATGAAGACAGCTAAAGAGGACTAAAAAGAACAGGATGAAAGGGAGATTTTTTATATGTGTTATGTTCCACTCGGAACCTAATGGAATAATAATTATGGATATACAACTGTAAAACCTGATGAATATCGGAAAGAATATTCTTTGTTCGCCAGTCAGTCTTTGTATATCTTTTTCTGTCTCTGGCTTTTTTGTCCAGTTATTCGGCTTTAAAGTTAATGAACATCTCTAAGATCTGCTATTCATTAGGCTGTTAAGGCCATAAATAATGACCTGTGCGACCACTGTCTAGTGGAAATCAGGTTGTAAATATTATAACTTTCAGGTCTTGAATGCGTGTTGAAATCTTTCGTGTAAGTGTGTAATGTGATTGCTTGATTAAATGACACAATATTGTTAGTTATTCTATAAATCATCATACTGTCTCATAATTGTTAGCTGTGATGCGCAAGGTGTATTTGCTGGTGTGGGGAAAGTTATGCTTACTGAACCTTATTTTCTACTGATGCATCTTTTAAAAAAAATATTATACAACTTTTTATTTCAGGCTCTTGATAAATATTGTCGTACAGGAGCAGGCTTTTCCGGCATTGAAGATGTCTACTCTTCTCAACCCGAATACGACGATGTTCAACAATCCTTCTTCCTAGCAGAAACATTGAAGTATCTTTATCTAATATTTTCTGAGGATTCTTTATTGCCACTTGATAGATGGGTGTTCAATTCTGAAGCACATCCGCTACCTGTTCAAAACAAAGTTAAACTTATTGAAGTTCAGTAATTTAATATTTTTCAATTTTACAGTTGGTTGATCTCTTTATCCTTCATGTTCATAATTCATTTTTTCTCATATTGTTTTTATTTTCCTTCCATTGACCTGTGAGTTATGTGCAATGAGAAGATATTTCATGTATATCGTATGAAGTGCTCTGTGAATAGAGTAAACACTTTTCTACTCTTTAGCAAATAAGATTATCAGAAACATATAGAAAGTAAATAAAACTAGTCCTATTATAAAGTAATAGATGTTCTTTATTTCAACTGAAATTGAAAGTTTCTCGGGTCTATCTCTTCTAGAATCTCGTCTCTCTTCCTCTCTCTCTCTCTCTTATGCTTCTGTCTTCATAATACCGTATTAATGTTGTCTATTCTTCTTGTCAAAACAGTCTGTGATATTTTCAAATGGCCAATGGAATATCTGTTTCAGCACTACTCTCTCTTCTCATTCTGATCACACTCTCTTAATACTGTTATTTCCTGTTTCATCTATCGGTATTCTTTGTCTTATTTCTTCTTACTTTTCGCTTTTTTGGATAATTGTCCAACTTCTTTAGAGAAAGCAGTAATTTATTCGTTCGTTATCTTTCTTATTGTTTTTCCTGTGTATTCGCACTGTTCTGTGTTATATTTCTTGTTCATATATGCACAAAACAAAAACTGATTGGTTCTGTTTTTAGTTTTTTGTTTCCAGAGTGTATATATTTCATTCGGAATATAAGTTTATCAAGAATATCGATTTGTGATGTATTCAACCTCTCATTATTAGTATTATTATTATAGGTTTAAACAAAGCAGATTGAGCAGGTTAAAATGACGTCATTACATTTAGTTGATTCTTCTCAACCTTATACAACTATATGTAATTTATAATCAATTCAACTGCTTCCGTGGAATCAGTCATATCGGTCTTTATTGTAGCATTTCAGTTTTTCGTCCTCGTGACAGACACAAAAAATTAACTAACCACATAGGTGTATATATTGAATTTGAAAACCTGTATAGTCAGACCAAGGGTCTAGTTTCATGCTGCTGTATGGAAATAAAACGCTTTTAGTCCAGTCTAGTAGGTTGCTGTTATCAATAAAAAAACATCAAATACGTCCGTGAAAGCTTCCTGACATAGGAACATGGAGAAGAACTACATAAATTGATTAATCACAAAAGACTGGTAGTTACAAAACTTGATAAATGGTCGTGACTAGTTCTCCTCGATACAAGTGATTATATTGAAAAGGTAAATTGTATGTTGAAATACAAATAGAAGTTTTAAAAATTGGAGGAGAGGGAAGTTCTAAATAAAAAAGAAAGTGAAATAGCCAGACGTTTAAAGAAATTGCTGTGTAAGAACAAATACTTCGTCCGAGTTTATATAGTGGACTCAGACCCATTGGCATATACACACCAATATGATAGGGCTCACCCAAAGCACATAAACCTGGAGTGCTAATAAGGCGAATTCTAGAGATTCAAAATTCACGCTACCATGCTTTAGCTAGATGATCGGTCGGTCGGTTGGTCGGTTGGTTTTCGACATAGAACTTTGCACATATGTGCGGGAGTTCAAGTCGCCACAATCCATGTAGCACACAGAGGAAGAGAAGAAAGTAGGAGAAATGCATAATATAGACAGTAAACAGAGGTGAGAGACAAAGGAATAGTAATAACGAAGAACAAAACAGTTTCATTGGAAATCATAAGTCACAAGGAATGGATACATCTGCGCCATTGAGGACGATTTTGAGCCATGTCACCAATTGTTTCCAACCATTGGTTTTTACTGTCCCGAGGACCCCAACCAGGAAGTCTACGTGGCTTAGACTAACTGTTGTAGATTTCATTGACTGGTGCCATGTTTTGGTTTGACCGCCGCTAGCTCTTTCCCAGCCTGGCCCTATATCAGCTAACATTGCCCATCGAGGAAGGCGATGACTAGGCATACGTAGCACATGTCCTAACCATCTCAGTCGAAGTAATTTCACCGTTTCGTCGATTGATTTCCCCGCCTTACCTAGCACTCGACGCCTAACCTCAATATTGCTCACCTTATTATTCCACTTCACGCGGGAGATAGAACGCAGACACCTATGATCGAAGACAGCTAATCTTTTCATGTCTTCTGCTCTCAATGGCCAGGTCTCACAGCCATAAAGGAGGACGGAGCGGACTGTTGAGCAGTACACACGCCCTTTGGTCGATAGTCGGATATCGCGTCTACGCCAGAGACGGCGTAAACTGGCATATTCGAACCTAGCCCTCTGTATTCGTGCTGAAATTTCGTCTGAGATCAACCCGTTGGGGCTGATGGTACTTCCCAAATAATTGAAGCGGTCAACGTGTTCTACCACTTCATTTCCTATTTCTAATCTAGGGGTCGGTGAAGTCCAATCCTGCAGCATCATCTTACATTTTACAGGGGCGAATCGCATGCCAAACATACGAAGATTGTTGCTCCAGGTGTTCAGTAGACTCTGCATTTTGTCAGAGTCCTCGCCTAGAAGGACTATATCGTCCGCATATTCTAAGTCAACGAGATTCTTCCCTGGTAGCAAGTCAATCCCTGAGTCGCTGAAGTGTGTTAGGGTTAAGTCCATTAGTACGTCTATGATGAAGTTGAATAGGAATGGGGATAATGGGCATCCTTGACGGACGCCACTAGTCGTCACCACTTCAGATGACAACTCGCCATAAGCCCTCATCTGGCTGCATGAGTAGGAGTAGAGTGCCTTAATCAGTGCAATGTATTTTCTTGGCATTCCCTTTACAGCCAAGCATCGCCAGAGAACCTCCCGGTCGACGGAATCGAATGCCGCCTTTAGGTCAAGAAATATAATGATTGTCGGACGCCGGTAGGAATGCCTATGTTCTAGAATCTGTCGAAGGGTGAAGATGTGATCAATACACCCTCTACCTGGCCTAAAACCTGCCTGGTTTTCTCGTGTTTGTGTCTCCCGAGCACCACTTAGTCTACGCAGTATTATTGAGCCTAGGATTTTAGATACTATATTAGTCAAGCTAATCCCCCTGTGATTATCACAAGAAGACTTGTCTCCCTTCTTGTATACCGGGATGATCAGTGACTTACACCAACCCGATGGGACTTCCTCTGATTCCCAGATGCTGTCTAGAACCTCCGTTAACGCAGACAGTAAACTGTCTCCACCGTACTTAAATACCTCTGGAGTCAATAAATCAGGTCCCGCTGCTTTGCCTTGCTTCAGATTAGTGACAGCCTGAGTAACCTCAGTTAGGGACGGAGGACCTGTGTCTATATCCTATTCAGGGAGGTGTTGGATGTCCGGCAGGTTAAGTGTGGCTGTGGGCCAATTAAACTGCTCCTCATAGTGTTCTTTCCAGCTCTCCAGACGTCTATCCTGGAAGCTAATTATGGTGCCATTTTTCTCAGAGATTGTTTCGCTTATCTTTTGCTTTTTACCACCTGTTTCCCTGATGAGTTTGGAGAGTTGTCTGGTGTTGCCTATCGCCGATGCTTTTTCCATCTCTTTCGCCTTTGTCAACCACCACTGTTCACGGTCCTTGCGGAGACTTTTCGTAAGTTTCTTTTTGTGCAACTTTCGCTCCTCATTGAATTCGGAGCTCGCCGGAATAAGTCTTCTAGCATCTATCAGTTCGGATGAGGCAGTCGAAATCCAATGGTTTTTACTCACCTTTGGATTTACCTTATTCATAGCTTTTACAGCTGTATCTATGGCTGACTGAATATTCTTCCAGGCTTCTTCAGGGTCAGCGCAGCTGTCGAACTCAGATATGTGTTTAGCTAGTTCTTCCCCAAATAGGGACTTAGTTTCCTGATCGAGCTGGGGATGTGATGGGTTTACCACCAGCTGTTTCCTACGTCCGTTCAGTCGTAAGCACACACGAGCGCGGACCAGTGCGTGATCGGTATCTACACACGTGTTTCAGAAGGAGCGACAATCTCCTACCGACCCACGCCAACGATAGCTTATTGCTATGTGGTCTATTTGTGTCCAGCGTCGGTTTGATGATGGGGGTCGCCAGGTCAAACAGTGTCTCTCCTTGTGTTTGAAGTTAGTGCTTACAAGAAACAAATGATTATCTGAACAGAACTGTAGGAGACGGTCACCGTTGTCGGTTCACTGGCACGGAACTCCATAGGTGCCTACTTCTCAGATTGACATAATTTCCCTACTTGAGCATTAAAGTCACCAGCTAGAACGACTATATCTGAGCGTTTAGCCTTTCGCAGCAAACTAGACAGCTTTTGGTAGAACTCATCCTTCGTTTCATCCGAACTGCAGTCAGTGGGGGCGTAGGCGGAGATTACGAAAAGGCATCGGCGAGTAGTGCAGTCCTTTCTCCTTTTTACTGAACCGTTCAGACGGACAGCACACATTCGGCTATCTACCGGGATCCAGTCAAGTAATGTCTTTTCTGCTCTAGTACTTAAAGCTATCCCAACACCAGCTAATCCTCGTGAGCTAGCCGTCGCATCTCCTGACACCCTCAAGGTGAATTTTGCAGATTCATCCTGTTGGCCAGGTGGGGTTAGGTGAATAACCACGCTTGGGTCCTGTATGCGTGTTTCTGAAACACAACATACATCAATGGCTCGGGATGCCAGAGTCTTGGCTAGTGATGCTTGTTGTCCTATTTGGCAAAGTGTCCTAACATTAAATGCTCCTATATAAAATTGGTGGCGTGGTTTTAGGAGACCATCGGTGGTGGCTTTTTGGCTTCCATCGTTTTCAGTACACACAGAGTGAAGAGGAAGTGAAGAGCCAACAAGTAGGGGAGTTGCATTGGTAGAAGGAAGGCAAGATAATAGAGATGAAGACAAAGATGAGCGAGGATTAGAGAGGTTTCGCGTACACTTCGGATTGTGAGGGCGATTGTTACTTCCTGGTTGCCCACACCGTGGAAGTTGGTTGCGTGACCGCAGAGCCCAGGGGACAACTGCTTGAGGCCGGTCACACACGGCCTGTTTTTGTTTGTTCTTTTTTATTTGGTGTGTCTCAGTAGCGTATTTATCACTTCTGCCCTGTGACACGCCAGCAGAAAGCGCGGTCGTTGTTAATCCGGGCCCCGACCGATCCGGCATGATATTTTGTGATTTATTTGAAATCATAGGATTGGATTGGGTAACTGCTTTTAGTCTAACTGCTATCCAAACAACCTTTCTGGCATGGTAGGACCTGCAGGAACATAAGTTCCAGCCAGTATAGCTTGTTGGGTCATTGCGGTGTTCAAGCCCGACCACCAAGTCAAGGTAGCAGCTTTCGGTCGGGAGATGATCGGTACATTTTTCTAAAATCTTTACATAAACAGATAGTGATATATATGGTGTGAAAAATGTGCTTGAATTCACAGACATTTGAAAATAAAGCTGTGATATCTGTAGACATAACATCTCCAATTACAAATGAAGCTTTGATTGAGATAGTTAACTACGTGTGTGTGAATTGATAAATAAAGTCGATAAATATTGGGTTCCCAGTAGAATTCCTTAAAGAATTTATACTTAAGTGGACCATGAACGTAAATTCTAAGTTTGGCGACGAACTCTACAGACAAATGGATAGGCTGTCATTGGGCTCCCCAATGTGAGTCCTGTGCTAACAGATTCCTTTCTTAGTATACTAGAAAATGGTCCTTTAACCAGTTTTATCACAAATTTCTCGTTCTGTCGCCGATATGTGGATGATAGGTTCATCCTTTGTGAAAATGATGTAGACAGGCTCTCAGTAATAGTTC